AGCCCCATGGGTAGCTTATGGGTCGGGCAAACGAAATCCTACCTGTAAAGACCTCTACAGAGGATGTTTAATTTATGTTCTCACTGCAGTTCCACTAGATGTGCGGAATAGCTAGCGCTGGGCTTGTTGAGAGTGCGCGAACGTTTGAAACTGTGATTTGCGCTATGGGTACGACTTTTTCCTTGTCCTTGCTGGGAAGGCGCTGTTCTGACCTGAGCAGCTCAGGTTTTTAAAGCCAGGCCTGCCCAGATACTCGGGCTCGTAGAGAAAGCTGTAGTGCCCCCCCCCCCCCCCCCCCCCAGTCTACATCAAAGTTGAATTAGCCAGTTTGGGACAGCTATTCAATCGACTCTCCGCCTGAGAACAATGACTAAAGCTCCAACTTCGGAGAAAGGCGCTGCGTTCACGTCTTCTGTCCACAAAGTTAATCTGTGGCACAGCGATGGAAAGATTTTTTGACTAGCTGTTCTACGTCAACCTGTCTTATATGCGTTCCATTTGTTTCTTAAAGACGGCTATTGTACAGCTCATTACAGTGACGGTTAACAACAGATCCTAAAAGAATGCAATTTATTTCTTGAAAGTAGGGCTGTTATACAACACGCTACTGCGGGTATCAATAGAGTAATGGTTACGCTGCGTGTCTGTAAAACCAGAGGTGCGTGGTGCGACTCCCCGCAGTACCAACACCAGTTCCTGCCAAGGTGAGAGGCAGGCGATGCCTGCTTCTCACCCTGGCAGGAATTGCCTACCAGGGTGAGAGCAGCATTACGACGCACTTAGCTGACCTTACCAGCTGAGTGCGTCGTAAAGCTCCAATGGTTACCATTTCCACGCACCGGTGGTGTTGCAGTGCAGTGCGATAGACAGCCCTCTCTCAGGTATCTGCCAGAGTGTGTCTTTCTGCTCACCCGGACCAGTGAAAACCACACTGATTCAGGCAGCCTCAGGTTTGAACATGACGCAAAGCTTCGGCATATATTTGCTGTTATACCAAATGGACGTTAACGTAGCATCGTTCGCTGCAGCCTATCGGGATACTATCTCCCTTAAAGAACATGAACGAAACATAGCATAACATTCACCTCAGCATATTGGCACGGTACTTCCTTGGAGGTACATTCATTCAAACGTTATAGTGATGGCTTGACGAGCAACGTGCATAAATAAGCACAAACTCTACAATACAACAATGATGATTGCGATCAAGCATGCCTTGGCGACGTTATTCAGTGTATATATATATATATATATATATATATATATATATATATATGCAATGCATGCTGATATATATGGCGAGCTGGACAATGCATAGACTCATAGACCTTGTATGCACTCAACAATCGGGATTTTCCAGTCCAGATTTTCCAGCAGCACAGCTACAGTTGGCACTGGTAGCAACTTTATAAATTTGCCAGCACTTTGTAAATCCAACTAACGTAGTCTAAATGGATTCATCATAAGAGTCAAACTGGATGCAGTTTGATAGGTTGCCCATTCCCGCCCACATAATAGTTAACGCGCTGTGTCAACACTAACTAAGCAGGCGGAATGAAACTTGCGTGATTGTCACATAGGAACACCCGAGGCGTCTACATTCCCCACGTTGTGTGCACTGCCGGCTCAGAGCTCGCCTTCCTCACCGCGGCCGCGGCGGCCCCACAGCAGCCTCCTGCTGACCTGACCTCGGCGCGGCTTTGATCCGCCGCCGCCCGACGATCCCCAGAACAGCTGACGGCCGGGCGACGGGCCAGACATTCCTTGATCGTCCGACGGTGCCCGCCCGCGGTCAGCGGACGCTAGCAACAGCGTGCAGTGTATCTAAGCGGTGCCTTCCGCCGACGCCGGGCCTCGGGGCTCTAGCGACTATCGCTGGCCGGTCGGAAACGGCTGGACGGGAGCGTCGCGCGATGTGGTTTGGTTCTGGAACGCGTAACCGTGGCATGTACCCCGCCGGATGTCAGGTTGCTTCGGGCGGATAAACGCAGCGGTCTGGGACATTTTTCAGATGCCGACATTGTCTCATGAACAGCGTGAAGGTCTGATATTACAGGGCTCCAACGTAGCCGCCGGTTTCTTGTCCTGTCCATCCCCGTTGGATTGGGCAGCACGCGTCTGCGCTTCTGGCCAACCACCACGCGATCTTCCGCCGCGCCGGCCATCCCCATACGTCCGCACTGGCAAGTCCACGACCGCAGCGACATCAGATATCAGCGGAACCGAGCACCTTCGCCACGTCCGTCACGCCACGGCGGCGCTCGCAGGCCGTACACGAGCGAATCTCCGCAGTGCCATGAGCCGCGTGGCGGCCACCCGTCCCAGAGCGAGCCATCAGGCCGGCGCGGCCTCGGCGGCGCTCGCAGGCCGTACAAGAGCGAATCTCCGCAGTGCCATGAGCCGCGTGGCGGACACTCGTCCAGAGCGAGTCATCAGGCCGGCGCGGCCTCGGACATTGTGTCGCCAGCCCGTGCGCGATTGTCTCCCGATTGTTCTGTGGCCGGAAGCGACATCGCCCGGCCGGCGGCGCCGCTTTGAGCCCCGCCGCAGCGGTATCCGCGCCGCGCGCTCTAGAATTCGGCCCGCCCCGGCGGCAGCAGCCGGCTGGGGGAGGGGAAGGGACGCCTCTGATTGGCGGACGGAAAACCTCGGTCACTGTTGACGCCGGGCCCAGGTGCGGACGGGGCTGTTGATCAGGTGATCAGCTGACGCCAAACTGCTGAGTCGGTACCCGCCCGTGCTGCATGCAGGATGACTGGACTGAAGCCGCCAGATGCTGCGTTTCACCTCCGTTGTTGTAATTCCGCGCGGTGCGTTATCAGCAAAGAAATGATCCCGCCCGGAGCGTGCAGTCAAGGAATGGAGCTCCAACCTTGGTTTAGGCGTGTACATAGGCGTTACTGCCACTAGGTTTGGCTGTTCAGGACCTCGGTAAATTTGGACATATTGGGGCTATTCTTGCGTCCGTCCATATACAATGGCACCAGAACAGAAATGGACCCCAGTAACATTTCAGGCGTGAATGCGTTTTAAATGTCATTGGTGTCCATATTACTTGTAAGCCATAAATCTGCCATCAGCCCAGGTGTGTACCGGATTAGTGCACAAGAGATGTCCTTTCCTCATCCGATCAGTTGGTTGCATGGGCTTTCGATCCCTCTCTAAATGGCAGCATCAGCGCCGCACTTGCCACCAGCCGTCACTTGCCGCAGCTAAAATCCCATTTAAACGCTGCCAACTTGCCTGGCTTCTTTGGTCGATGCGGGGGATATGAAATTACATTTCAGGCGACAGCCAAGGGAGGAATACGCCGGGGTTCGGCTACGAGGGGGTACTGGTGTTAAATATTTTATGCCGGTTTTGCTAACCTGGCGATATCCACAAGTGCGCAGCTAAGGGCCATGTGCACTGCAAGACCAACGTCAGCTAACCATTCCCGACGCTTCGAAGATGCAACTACTCCATCTCAACGCTACACGCTCCCGGTCTCGTTCCACCGGGCCGCTCCCACCGTCGTCGCCGCGTGAGTTCCGACTCCTGTCCATCACCGAAGGCCTCTGTCAGGTCCCTCGGCCTTCACCCTGTCAGCGGGCGCGTGCCGGGATCGCCTATCCCCGCCGCGAGATCCGAGATCGCCCAGCTTCCCCCGAGCGGGCGCCGTTGTCAGGGGGCGCGTGCCGGGATGGCCTATCCCCGCCGCGAGATCCGAGATCGCCCAGCTTCCCCCGAGCGGGCGCCGTTGTCAGGGGGCGCGTGCCGGGATGGCTTATCCCCGCCGCGAGATCCGAGATCGCCCAGCTTCCCCCGAGCGGGCGCCGTTGTCAGGGGGCGCGTGCCGGGACGGCCTATCCCCGCCGCGAGATCCGAGACCGCCCAGCTCCCCTCGAGCGGGCGCCGTTGTCAGCGGGCGCGTGCCGGGATCGCCTATCCCCGCCGCGAGATCCGAGATCGCCCAGCTTCCCCCGAGCGGGCGCCGTTGTCAGGGGGCGCGTGCCGGGATGGCCTATCCCCGCCGCGAGATCCGAGACCGCCCAGCTCCCCTCGAGCGGGCGCCGTTGTCAGGGGGCGCGTGCCGGGACGGTCTATCCCCGCAGCGAGATCCGACATCGCCCAGCTCCCCTCGAGCGGGCGCTGTCGTGGCGGGCCGCCCGTGCCGAGATCGACAGTCGTTTGGCACGTCAGCTGGACTATTCTCCGCCGACCCGGCCGACCATCCGCCCGCTTAAACAGCAGCCGGCGCCAAGTCGGTCAGCCGCGCGTGCTCGACGTTCCCACGCGTGTTTACGGGACAGCTCGTGCCGCCTCCGTCGATGCTGCCGGGCGGCCGGCGGCGAACGCGGCCGCGCTCGAGCACGTCCGCATCCTCCGACAGGTCACCGTGACGGAATGAGGGCTGCTCCAGCGGGAAGTGGATAACGCGCACGCATTCGACTCTGATACCAAACAGAACGCAATTCGCTAAGTGGTCCATGGGCCAGCGATTCGTAACACCTGAAACCGCTGCTTGAACTCCCTCATTTGAGCTAGGTCTACGCTAATGCTGCAATAGTTTGGTTTGCGATTTGCAAGCTTGCTGCCGAAGGCCGCCAGCGCATTGTGAACAAACTGTTCGCTCATTACACCATAATCCCTGCTCTGCATTGAGACGCAGAGCTTGGCATGCATTTGCAGCGTTAAGCCCCGTGCCCTTAGTGGCGGCTAACCGTCAGTGACCATGGCCCCGCACACGTAGCATGGTCCCCATGTAGCATTTTCTTCCTGCTTCTCTACGCGTCTTCATCCCGACAGCGTTCCACATTCCCTTCCAAGACCGCCTCATGTCCCAACCCTGACTGCGGCAGGCGGATGCTACCTTCTGGCCTCGCTCTCAGCCGTCCTCCGGCAGCCCCACCCCCAGCCGGCGCGTGGCACCCCTGCCCGCCCGCCTGGCGACGCCCCTGCCGCCGTGAGGGTCGGGCCCGGAGCGGCCGCCTCCGCCGACCAGTCGGTCCGTCCGCGGCAGCCGGACAGGGGCGACGACGCGCGCCGTTCTCGGGGGTGCCGGGCGACCTCGGTCCCTCGCCCCCGCCGTGTCCTGGCCGGCGCCGGGAGAGGTCGCGCAAGAGGCGGAACGGTTAGATCGCTCTTCGCACAGGTAAGACCAGCTTCGGGGTCTTAGCTTCAAGGTTGAGAGCATATAGTTGTAAATAAACAATCGGCCTGAAGCCAGCGAACCTGGCGTGAGACGACCGGAGCTCAAACCAGAGGACCTGGCGTGAGACGACCGGAGTTCCAATCGCCTATCTTAGGTTGTCCGCCATCCAAATATGGATGACTTTAAAGTTATGGTTTTCCTCACCTCGAATGACAAGACAAGTGAAGCGTATCTTCCCACGTTTCATATCAGTTATCATTCATCTATGTTCTCGTTCCGGGATCATTTCAACAGTGTCGCGTCGAATGGTTTAATCTGGTCTGTCCTGGATGACTTAAAACATAAACCAAATGGGCATTTGTGCATTGACTTACGCAGATCCTACAACTAACTATAGCATGGAAATCCGCCTTCACCCCTGGTCGCAATGAACCAGGTTTGTCAGAAGCCGTCACTGCGCCGCGCGTATCTGGTACCCTGGTGCGGAGCAAGTGTTGACTTAAATATGTGTATTTCATCCGATTTCATTGCGGTAAGTATTGACCTCGCGCTCACTTCTGCATGGATCCTTGTGCCGGGGCAAATCACACAGCTGACGGTTCAACGTGCGATCTTTAACCTATCACGGTAAAATACAAAAAGCGGTGATACTTTTGATCTGTGAACGTCGGCAGGACAGCAGTTACTCTGGTTTTCATTTAAAATATACGCTGTCCTCCTCGGTTGGATATTCATCGGCAAACGCATACCTGATGAACGAGTATAACATCATTATGACTTCACAAAGGCGAACGAGTATAACATCATTATGACTTCACAAAGGCGAACGAGTATAACATCATTATGACTTCACAAAGGCGAACGAGTATAACATCATTATGACTTCACAAAGCCGAACGATTATAACATCATTATGACTTCACAAAGGCGGGCGAGTATAACATCATTATGACTTCACAAAGGCGAACGAGTATAACGTCATTATGACTTCACAAAGGCGAACGAGTATGACATCATTATGACTTCACAAAGGCGAACGAGTATAACATCATTATGACTTCACAAAGGCGAACGAGTACAACATCATTATGACTTCACAAAGGCGAACGAGTATAACATCATTGTGACTTCACAAAGGCGAACACCCGTCCGTAGGCTCGTGTCACTCTGTTTGTTAATGCTTTTTTTTTGTTTTAATTAGCACCACAGTGCGTTGCATTCAGCAGATGTGACTTAGGCGTCGACTTACCATATCCTGAATTTCATGTCACAACTGTAAAGGAGAGGCGTGGCAAACTACCGTTCCGATGATCAATAAATGCCCGCTAAAAAAACACGTTCATCCCAACGCAAAAAAAAACCAGCACGCGCCGCCTCAACTGAACCATCCGTCGGTTTCCTCGTAACCAGCCTGCCTCTCTGAACTCCTCGCCCTCCGGCCCCCATCGCCCGTGATCGATCGCTGCCGCCAGGGGGCGCCCAGCCCAACTGACCTGTCCACAGGTGCGGCCGAGATAGGCGCCGCAGCCGCACAAGTGTGCCTGGCACCGGGCCCCTGTGACGCACGGCCGTCTGGGAGCCGCGCGGCGGAGCCATGGCGCCCTGCAAGACCGAGCTGCTGCCTCTGCGGGTGATGCTGTTCGCGTTCTACGGAGGTAAGCCTATCATTATTGTCCGGCGGCCCTCTGTTGTCCGTAATTCATCATCGGCCGTAATTCTGTTTTAGTTCGTCAGCCGGTTATGCAGTCAGCTCAAAGTGCGATATTATGCCAATCATCTCCATAGTTGAGTTAAGCCTGAGGGGTGATTGGCAGCTTAGACCATCCAGTTCACCGGCTACGATGCGCTGGAGCTGGAGGCTTTATGCATGCCCTTTAACAAACCAGAGCGCATGACCGTATTCTGAAGTGCTTGAGCATCGCAGCAGCGGTACGTCACATGTTGACGGACGGTGCGTCGTAGCGAGCACCAGTGCCATTTCCTCCCCCAGAGCACTGTTCAACACCCCCACAATGTCCGCCCTGTTCCTTCAGAATAGTTGTACCGCACCTAACGAAATCAGTTCTGGTGAACCAATCGTAATTCATTATTACACTGCACTACTTTTAAGTGCACGCAATGCAACGCATCTGGTGTTCGTGACGCCGTGTTCCCCCATCGCATTATCACGCAAACAAGTGTAGCACTCGCCGCTGCGCCACTGCTGCGAAGCCAGCTCCAGTCCCGACCCCACCCCGCGCGACGCACAGCGCAGACGCGCGCGCCGTGATCCGGCCCGCCCCCGCCACAGGGATCGGCTGCGTGCTGCCGTTCGTCACGCTGCATCTGTCGACGCTGGGCCTGACTGCCGCCGACCAGAGCTGGCTGCAGCTGGTGCTGCCGTTCGTCAGCTGCGCCGGCCCGCTGCTGGGCGGCCCGCTCGCCGACCGGATGGGCAGCTACAAGCCGCTGCTGGTCGCCTCGCTGCTGGTGTGCGCCGCCGCCTACCCGTGTCTGCTGCTGGTGCCGCCGGTGGAGCGGCTCCCGCCGCGGTCGCCTGAGCTCTTCCTCAGCTGCGGCCCGCGCGGCAGCATGATCGGCAGCGAGCTGTGTGTCGACGGCTGCAGCGACGGCGACACCGAGGCGCGCGCCTACCACGTGCTCGACTGCGCGTACCGCTGCGAGGCCGGCGCGCCACAGCCGACCGCGCCGCCGCACCTCTGCCTGGAGGGCGCCGGCCGCATCACGCAGTGCGAGGTGCTGGACGCCGGCGGTGGGCTCGTGCTGAACGCCTCGCTGCCGCGCCGGCTGCCGCGCGCTGGCGAGCCCGCCTGCTGGTACCCGCTGGTCGACTTCCGGCGCGCGGGCGAGTCGTACCGCAGCCTGGTCTGCGGCCGCGTGTCAGGCTGTCGCCTCCGCTGCGCCGTGCGTCAGCTGAGCGAGCCGCCGCTCTTCGGCCCCGAGCTGTGTCGCGAGACCGTCGGTGACCCCGGCTTCACGCTCTGGCTGTACTTCGGCCTGCGCGCCGCCACCGAGGCGCTGCTGGCGCTGGCGCTGGTGCTGGTGAACGCGACGACGCTGCTGCTGCGCCGCCGCCACGACTCCGACTACGGTCGGGAGGCGCTCTGGGCGCTTCTCGGGCTCGCTACGTTCGCGCCCGTCTGCGGCTACGTGCTGGACGTGCAGGGCGAGGTGGCGGGACGGCCGGACTTCCGGCCCAGCATGTGCGCCTTCTCCGCACTCATGCTGGTCTGCGTGGTGCTGGCGTCCGTGGTGCCTGTTCGACCCGGCTTCCCCTCCGACTGCCGTCAGTACTGGCGCCTGCTGGCCAAGAACGTGTTCAACTGCGAGTTCTTCGGCGTCGTGTGTGCGCTCGTGCTGCTCGGCGTGTTCTGGGGCTTCCTCGAGACGTTCCTGTATGGCCACGTGCGCGGCCTGGGCGGCTCGCAGCTGCAGAACGGCCTCAGTCTGACGGCTGGCACGCTGGTGCTGCTGCCGTTCCTGCTGAGGGCTGAGGCGCTCGTCGCCTACTGCGGCCACCACCACGTCTTTATCGTCGCGTTCATCATCTACATTGTTCGCTACGTCAGTAAGTACCGCCGCGACGATCTGGCTGTCACTTTGCGGTGTCAGGTGTTTGGATCCGGAGCCACTCTCAGCTCTCGCCGGTGCTGTGGTTATTTTCCTACCTCTTGATCTCTTTTGTCCTGTAGTCAATGCAATGGCATTTGAACAAGAAAGGCTAAAAACTCCTCGGTATTATAGCTTGTCAACGTCCAAAAGAATACCAGCTTTGTAGCAAGCAGTTAAACAACTTGGTGAAGATAAGCCGAATCGGTTTACCATACGTTTGGACAGTACCATATCCGTCAAAAGGCACACTACAAAATCGCCAGCGCATCACAATAGGCGGTCGCCTGCGGAGCGCGACCGGCAGCTCTGACAGCGGTGGCAGCGGCGGCAGCTCTCATGACACGGCTCCACCCCGCACACAATGGCGACAGCCGCGGGATGGAAATGAGCAGCGCCTTCCGCCCGTGTCAAAGTGGCCGGCGGCCGGCCGGATCCACTCCGCATTCACGGCCGGATCTGCAGCACGCCACCCGGAGGCGTCGCACGAGGCAGAGTGGCCTTCCAAAGCCGCCTCGGCGGTGGGCACTGACGTAACCGGTCGGCTGCCGTTGAGAGGAACTCGTGCGCGAAGCGTCATGGGCGTAGAAATGGCCCCGAAAGTGGGAAGGACTTAACCATGCTTCAAGTCAGTTTCGTTCATGCGTAACCACGTGGTGAACGCAAAGCATTACGGAAAAGAGGCTGGGCAGTGCCGTGCCCACTCCCTTCACTTACATGCCTAAGGCACCTTTTTCATGTGGCGCCGTAGAGGTGTTCAACACCTTCTGACGTTCTGCTATTCGTCTGCGTGCAGACTGTTTGCCAGTCCAGCTCAGCCTATGCCAGTCTGCTGGTGTTTTGTGTAGCTGATTGACAGCGAGGAGCGCCGATTGCCGCGTCACTGGTCACGTGATCAGCATGTCAAATGCATGCCGCGAATTGCCTGCTGAGGGAACAGTGGGTTCTCAGGCTCGGACTGACATAGCTGACAGGCTGCTGAACTCTGATGCTGACAAGTCAAGTCGTGCCGGGCGCATGGGCCCGGTGCCCGGATTCATGCAGGATGTCTGTGGCAGACAGCGAGCCGCCTGAAAAAATGTGCAGCTAATTTTGCCAAGACATCGCGACTGTTCTTCGGCGAGCTGCTCTCTTGAATCTAAATCAAGCCCAAACTTGTCAGGTTCAACAGACCCGTGTGCAGAATCGTGCACCCCCGGCTCGTTTTGATTGCACTGAAGCCGATACAGCTACGGTACGATCAAATTAAAATATATCTGCCATGATCAGCGCCCATGCAAGGTCAACCACCTCGTCTACTGACGTTCCCCTTGTCGTCCAATCGCCTGTTCTCGATGCAACAGGCTCGATGACAACATGCAGCGTTACATACCGAGGCCCAGCGTCAGGGACTGCTAGTTACCCCATGCGTCTGGGTAGCGTGACGGAGCCGACGGCACGGGGCGGGGGGCGTGACTGTGTGCTTATTGCTACCTCTGACGTTGACCGCTGCTCGCCGCTGCCCGCAGGGGCGTATTCACGGAGTGACCACTGCGGCACGTGCCCCCTCCCTCCCACACTTCTCAGATGTATTACATGTGTTAATATGTGCGTGCATAACATGCATCGGTATGTGCATAATTTTGATATGTTGCATGCACTGACACGTGGACAATGGAAAATTGAGGAGGACATGTACACATCAAAACAGGCCAACGGCCTCTAGTGCTTTTTTGGTCATACAAGGAGTTTCGCACGCCCGCGGTGTGCTAAGCTGGGTTTTCAGTGATTCCTTTTGTTTACTTGCGTGCCCTTGCTGCATAGGGCTCAGGCTGCCTGTAGTGGGGACACTGATGTCTCGCTGATGCCCTCATCCCTGTGATCCACCAAACATCATCAGGGATCCGTGCGCCTGGTCTGCGCCGACCATAACCATGACGTCATCAGGGATCCGCGCGCCTGATCTGCACCGACCATTACCGTGACGTCATCAGGGATCCGCGCGCCTGATCTGCACCGACCATTACCGTGACGTCATCAGGGATCCGTGCGCCTGATCTGCTCCGACCATTACCGTGACGTCATCAGGGACCCGCGCACCTGATCTGCTCCGACCATTTTTTTTTCTCTCTCCTGAGATTCCGACCTGGCCGCGGCGGAGTGGTCTGGAGCGTCTGAGGGCGACTCTGAGGCTGAGAGTTCTGGACACGGAGGTTGCGGCCGCGCAGAGTGGTCTGGAGCGTCTGAGGGCAGACGAGGTCCGGCGTGAGCCGTGGTCTGGGGGCGGTCTGAAGGCTCGCCCCCCGTCGGTCGGGAGCGCTTGAGTGCAGTCCTGGTTCTGGGCAGCGGCAGAGTTGGTCCCTGAGGGAGACCTCAGACTTCCTGAGTGTTCTGACCCGGCCGGGCAGAGTGGCTGGACTTGAGGGCGACTCCTGAGGCTCGCCCCGGCCGGCAGAGTGTCTGAGCGTCTGAGGAGGAGGCAGACTGGAGCCTGAGGCTCTGAGGTTCACTCGGCCGCGGCAGAGGGTCTGGAGGTCTGAGGGCAACTCCTGAGCTCTGCCCGCGCGGCAGAGGGTCCGGTTGAGGGCAGACTCCTGAGGTTCGACGGCCGTTGTCAGAGTGTCGCTGACTTCTTAGAGACTCCTGTGCATCTGAACCGGCCGCGGCAAGTGTCTGGAGCGTCGAGCACTCCTGACGGCCGCCGGTGGGGCAGAGTGGTCTGGAGCGTCTGAGGGCAGACTCCTGAGGTTCTGACTCGGCCGCGGCAGAGTGGTCTGGAGCGTCTGAGGGCAGACTCCTGAGGCTCTGCCCCGGCCGCGGCAGAGTGGTCTGGAGCGTCTGAGGGCAGACTCCTGAGGCTCTGCCCCGCCGCCGGCAGAGGGTCTGTTTGAGGGCAGCTCTGAGGTTCTGAGTCGCAGAGTGGTCTGGGACGTCTGAGGGCAGACTTCTGAGGTTCTGATTCGGCCGCGGCAGGTTACGCGTACATCACGGAGCCGTGGCTGGTGCTGGTGGCTGAGTCGCTGGAGATGTTCACGCTGCACCTGGCCTGGATGGCAGCTGTGCTGTTCGCCTCCGACCGCGGCCGTCCTGTGGTCGAGGCCTCCCTGCAGGCCGTCATCACAGCCGCCCACTACGGCATCGGTGAGCTGGCGCTTGTTTCACGTCTCGCCCGCGGGCCACCATTTGTGCGTGCAAATCGATGAAGATATTGCAACTTGTATATGTGGCAGCAGTACGACTAGGATACGTCGTTACCACGCATGGTTGTGACTTGGCCAAATGCCTGGTAAGGTATGTCTCCGACATACTTGACATCTATAACCTCAGGTCACGTGGTGGCCGCCGGCGAGGTATGGAGCGTCTCTCATTGACCTGATACCCTCGACCGCAGGCCGCGGTATAACCTGATACCCCGTCTGATTGACCTCTGTGGCCTCAGGTCGCGGGGTGGCCGCCGGCGTGGTCCAGTACGCGCTCCCACTGAGCTCCAGCTTCCTGCTGCTGTGCGCCGGCTCCGTGCTGGCGGCGGTGGCCGCCACGCTGTACCTGGTGCTGTACCACTGCTGCCGCGCCCTGCGGACCGACCGGCGCGCCTACAACAAGAGGCAGTTGTACAACAGCGGAGGTTAGTTGGCGTGACGGCCGACGGAGGAACTGAGCGCAGGCTCGAGCCGTCGGCTGGCAATGACGAATGAAAGCACTTGTGCGTATGTAAACGCATCGAAAAGCGTTATCATCATCGTGGCTGGAAAAATGTGCCTTGGAGAGCCACGTTGCATGCATGAACATGCACCACGCAAAGGTTGATGGCCGACAAAAATAAAATGTTATATCGACTAGTTACAAGGCGATGAGACGCTTCAGCTCTCTACCGCCCTTGCTCCGTTGAGTGTTGGAAAGAGCGGTAGCCAAGACGCGGTTGTCCGTTACTTCTCGCCATGTTCTGCGGCTCAGAATGTCCTGCCCTGTCCACAGGCGCCATGCTGAACGGTCCCCACTCGAGCCAGAGCAGGAGGTGAGCTGCTGGGCTATCGCCGACCGCTGACGCGGAGGGGATCCCTGGCAAGGAGCCGCGTGCGGTCGCCGGCCACCCGCGAAGGTCACGTGCCGCTGGTGGCCAGCCTCCCTAAAAGCGGCGGTGGAGGAGGCGCCCAGCACGGGCGGGGAGGTGACGCGGCGTGAGACGTCATCGGCCGTCCGGGCGCCGAGAAGGCGGCTGCGGAGTGGCAGTCGAAGGGCTGGATCACGGCAGTGACGTGGCGACTGCGTGATGCTCTGGCATCTGGAAAACAGAGTCGGGACATAGGCGGCGCTTTTGAAACGCTCCACGTGACCGCGGCGTTTGGTGCATGGGAACAATGCAGTGCTCTCAGATCGGAGGATCGCCCTGTTCGCAGAATCCGCCCATGTAGTCAATACTCTGGGTCAGCGTATGAAGACGGGGTTTGCGTCGCGGTGATCAATGCCTCCGTGTGTCCAGCAAAAGGTTCCAGCGACGGAACAGGGCGACGATCAAAATATGGCCTAGCTCTCACCCGCGATTGCTGGTACGTGCAGAAGCGAGCTACGTTCTCGCTGATCGCAGTCCGCGAACAGCGCGCGATACACAGGACATCCGTGGTCTGTGCAGCCAGCTGTCCGTGACGTCATTTCGCACGCGGTGAGATGCGACAAAGTCGCACTCCACACACCGCACCCGTGTTTCGTGTCGTCACTCCGCACTGTCTCCCGGCGCACTCGTCGGCATAGCTGCGACGCGAAGCCCGGCGTATTTGTCACGCCTTGAGCTGCGCCACTTGTCGACGCCCCACCGGCGGCGGACAGTGCGCGTGGGGCGCGGCGGGGGGTCACACGGGCCCTGTATGATCCAAGTGAACGCATGTACACTGCCTTTGCCTTCTTTGGGTGCTTGGGTGTCGTATGTTAGCCAGCAGGACAGCATGGGTCACATGTGCGGTAATAAACGTACGGGATATGCAAAATTAGCTGGATCTGGCTAACGGTACTCAACAGAAGGCATTGCGAAGTAGCTTATGGAAGTATTAGTTGATTGGGTGTGGTTTCGAGGCTCCGGGAAGCCGGGAGCCGCTTAATGCTCACCTATGTCAAGCCTCCCTGAAGAAGCTGCCGTGCGCGAACATCGCCGAGGAACACCGCAGTATAGCCGCTTGTTTGCTGACACTTCATCGCGGACATACGGGCTCGCCGGCAAAGACCGCAATGTTATCTGATCGCTGCAGGTCACCTGCCGTCACCTGTAGCCATCAATTTCACTCCGAGCCCCGACTTCGGCGTGCAAGCGTAGGATATTTGCAATCTTCTCAAGAAAGCATGAATAATCTCATCGAAATGGTGCCGCTTCACTGTCACGTGCAACACTAGCCACGCGGCAAATGCCCAATTCCCCACGTATTGCCCGTGGAGCAGCCGACGCACTGTCGACATGACACTGCGCTGAGCATGGCCACAGAAGTTTCGGACGAGACCATCACTTCCTCTGCCATACGAATAGATGGCTGGCGTCATGCTCAGCGCCACCTGTGCTAACCTGCACTGGTTCATAACCCCGCACAATAACTAGACGAAATTGACGTTTTGTCGTTCAGCACCCTTATGATTAAGAAGAGATAGTACAGTGGGTTACGTCGTTGCGTTCACGCAATGACGCCAGGGAAGAATGAATGCCGGACCAGCACATCAATGCCCTCTCCTACCACCGACCGTCATCGGCTGAGGCGAAATACTACGATATACGGTATACGTGTTCAGTGGCGGTTACTCCACTACTGATTCGCTCATTGTTTTATCACTCATGCTGGTCAAATGCCGGTGTGCTGCTGTGGGACACGCGGGCTGAAGGTGACACACAGAAAACCCGTTTGGTAGAAGGTCGTTTTCAACAGCAAAAACGTTTAATAGCATGTATGAACAGCCTTTGATGGCGTAAGAATGGCTGGATCCAGAATGCTGGAGCACGGTAAACCTGGTGTCCAGCTGCCCACATACGTTCTTGGGAGATTGCGCCGTAGACCGCTCTATACATCGAGCCCAAGGTATTAAAGCGCGGCCCGAATCAATATCTGGAAGTTCATCACCGTGATTTTTCCGAACTATTAGTCCGTCGCCCGATGCATAGATGTCGCCGGATCGTCTTCCGTTCGCCCCAACCCTGATCCCTGCCCTCTTTTTCCCTCAAATTCAGAATTTCCACCCGGCTACAGGCGCAGGGGTGTACGCAGATCTACATCAGCCACCAGCCTCGCCGCCATCCCTAAACCTCAGTGAGCACCGCGGGCGACCTAGCCTCAGTTTGTAGACCTTGCCCATCAATCCCGCTTTGGGAAGCAAACTTCCGCGAACAAGTCCAGAGCGCATGGAATGCTGAAACATCCAATCGCCGTCCATGATCGCAAAGCCATGAACCAGAATGCTACCGTATTTGGTGTACTACAATAAAAATAGTAACCGAGTCTTTCGGGTACTTCGACCGCGCGGCCAGACAGCGCCCATTGGTGCGGTGTAATGTGACGCAGGCCTCCCGTCGCGCCCGTGGACGTCACAGCTGCAAGTTGCTGCTGCGCGAACAACACACTACTGGCACAACTAAGAGCCTCGTAGATCCCAAATGGGCCAGGAACGGATGTCACAGCATCTCCTGAACTTGATCACAAGGAGAGTCCCTGCACGCTCGCTGCAGCCGCCGTCTTCTCATGCCTGGACCGCAGAGCACCGTCTCGCCTCTGCCCATCCTCCGCCACACAAACACACCGGTGCCCAAGAAGGAGACGCGTGTATTCCACGTCGGCCCGGCCGCGCGACACGGACACACACACGGAGGGGCGGGGCGAGACAGGCTATCGTTTCCGGCGCAGAGAAAGCGTGTTGCGCCGCAGCCAGTTGGCGCGCCGCGAGCCGCCCTTGGTGTTGTTGAACTTGCGGCCGTGGCCCAGGCCGCGGTGCTTGCGGCCGGCCGAGGTCTTGCCGCGCAGCTCGCGGTGCTTGTGCACGGCGTTGCAGATCCAGTTGACCTTCGCGTCGTGCCGGATCGCCTGCGGCACGGACAGCCAGGTCAGAGACGGTCGATGAAGACAGGCCAGAGATGGCCGATGACGGCAGGTCAGAAACGGCCGACGAAGTCGGGTCGGAGGCGGCCGATGAAGACAGGCCCGAGACGGCCCATGACGGCAGGTCAGAGAAGGCCGATGAAGCCGGGTCAGAGGAGGCCGATGAAGGCAGGTCAGAGACGACCGAGGAGACAGCCGAGGAAGCCAGGTCAGATACGGAAGAGGAAGCCAAGTCCGAGACGGCCGGGGAAGCCAGGTCAGAGGCGGCGGAGGAAGCCAGATCAGACGGCCGAGGAAGCCAGGTCAGAGACGGTCGAGGAAGCCAGGCCAGAGACGGTCGAGGAAGCCAGATTAGACAGCCGAGGAAGCCAGGTCAGAGACGGCCGGGGAAGGCATGTCACAGACGGCCGATGAGGCCAGGGCTAAGTGACGGATAACTAAGTGACGTGGCAAAGCAGGATCCGAGGCCATCAGGCATAAAATGGTGCTGAACCTTGCAGCCAAGAAATCACCGCAGTCAAAACAAGCCACACTGGTGACTGACCATCTCCGACCGTGTGCATCGTGTACAATGAACATGACACGTTTACGCAATGTGCGTGCATTCCTAGGCTTGTCTCCATCAACTTTGCATGCCCCATGGACATGTGACAAGAATTCCAAACATTGACGTCGTCGAAGACCACGAATATTGTACTGTTCTCTTCATCCACATCACTACCTATTTTGGCTTCCATGTTCAATCTGGGCTTTTTGATTAATCAGACCGATTTCTGGAATTAGTGCGCCAGCTAGTAAATGAGTGTTCGCTGTGTGAGCCCAGGCCCCACTGTCCCACAGCAAAGATCCAAATAAACGACCAAATTTTCTGGCACTTTTTGTTGCCCGCGGTACGAAAGGGTATGGTTCATCCTCCCTAGGACATTTCTACATGCTTCATCAGCTGTGTTCTAATCCACATGCTACATTCTAAAGGTTACATCAGTACACAAATAATACACCTCTGCTCCTACATCATCAAATATCATGTCACTCCATTTGTACCTAACCATCTATTCCACCAACATAGCATGTGGTCTAAGCTCCACCCTGGTCCAATTTAAGACATGAGCCAGGTTGGTAAGCTGTCAGTTTCTGTACTTCCTCTCCTTAGGACAGCCCTATGAGGAAAAGCCGTCCTTACACAGAGGAAGACCGCCCGCGCCGGACCCACTTCCAACCCACGCGGCACATCCCGGCAGAAGCACGCTCCTCCGCGCGCGCGCGCTCACCTTGTGCGCCGGGTCCACCAGGATCACCTCGAAGTACTTGTAGGTGGCGTCCTGGCCCACCCAGTACGAGTTGAGCACACGCAGGGCGTTGCACTTCTTGCCGACGCGGCCCTCGGCAACCGACTGGTGGTTGATGTTGAGCTTCAGCTCGTTGACGCCCTGGTGCACGGGCTTGCCGTAGGTGGCGCCCTTGTGCACGGGGCGTTTGCGGCCTCCGCGGCGCAGGCGCACGCGGTAGATGACGTAGCCTGCAGGGCAAGAGCGGGAGGCATGTCAAGGTCGCGTTGCAGCGGCGGTTCGCGAACAGGCTGGTGCGGCACTGACGCCGCCCAGAGCCTGGAATCAATGCATGCTGGTCAGCCACATTGACCCAGATACAGATATTTCCATGTCTGCCTTGTAAGCCTGTACAGAATGTATGGCATGCCACAGACAATTGGGTACCTATGAAGTCTAACATGTAGTCTAAGCTCCACCCCAGTCCAATTCAATACATGAACTAGGTTGGTAAGCTGTCAGTTTCTGTACTTTCCCTCCTTAGGACAACCCCATGTGTAGAGGTTGCCCTTACACAGAGAAAGATCAGGATAATTGCAGTGCTGCCACAAAACCAGTTTCACAACACAAAATGTTGACCATTCCCTTTTAAGTAACTATTTTTGGGACTCATTATTCAATTGCATAAAAACAGAACTGCTATATGGGAGACAATGTCAAAGCACATGATGGACACTAAAAACATGTGTATTAAGTGACAAACAAAACTGTACAGCCAGAAGTGATAACTAATCATAATGGTGATGGCTGAAGGCACCAAAAATTGTGGTCTGGCTGTCATGACCATTTTGGACTGCAGCATATTTGGCTGTCATGACCATTTTGGACTGCAGCATGTTTGGCTTAATTGACTACTTCCATGTGCTAGTGAGGTGAGTGAAATCAGCATGTTGCAGAAACTATCAAACCAGTATTCCTTAATGACCTTATTGTTGGGATATCTGGCTACCAGCTAAGTCTGGGCATTGGGAAGACATGATGCCCAATAAGTGCAATACAAAGTAAACTTTTGACAGGGATGCAGAATGAGTGAGTGTTAAGTATATTTAGTAAGTAGCCCCATCAAAAACTATTTGTGGGTTGGTCCAAAATACTTGAACAAGACAGACAATTAGTACTGCATCACAATGCAATTTACATAAGTTTTGTTTTTACATTAATTATTCACCACAGATGTTGTTTTTCACACATCAGCCATGCAACACAAAAATCCAAGCTGCATGACTATCACATTGAGACATTTTGTTAATATACTTTCTGTATCACACATTACCTTTTCCATTAAACACTCCTCACACAGAACATCCTTCACAACTGCCTGTTACATGCATGACATCCAGCTCATTTTGAATACCTTCCATCCTCTGTTTTGAGCCACCACATTCCTATCATGTAGAAGGATACTGGAAATTGAAAAGCTTGTTTGAGAAGAGTTGTAAGGGGACACATTCATTATCGGTTTTTGTCCTGCATTAGCTCCGCAATGCCGTTTGACATATGAGCTGTCAATATGAGGTCATACTGATGGCTGTCCAGTCTACTACTGGTGCATCTATGGGTCAGATATGTTTCTGTTGTTTAGGTCACTCAACATTGTTGACGTCATACAAATATCATACTTAGTTACTCTCATGCTTGTTAAATCCAATGTCGCCCATATCTAGACCCGTTTACTACTGGTCATTGTTATCTGTTCTGTCCCATTCCTGATGTGTTTCCGGTCTTAAGCCTGCTCGAGATTTGTAACTTTTATGTTTCCCATGGGTATCAAACTCCCACTGTTACACTAACAATGTCAATCAAATGGCATGGTGAAATGTGGTAATGATGCAATGTTAGAGAAACATGCAGCATGATCAAGCAGCCCACATTCAAAGAGAACATTCCAAATTTGATGATAATGAAAGAAGCACCACACATGATGAAGCATACTCACTTCATCATGCTTATAACTATTGACATATTTTTCAATGGAAAACACTACTTAGATGGCCTAATTTCTCTATTTAGTAGATATGCTTGTCAATATGTCACTGATTGTGCCATCATAGCTTCCAAAAAACTAATCAAAAGCCAACTGACACCTGTTATGTCTGAAAATTGTGCTCATTAATGCGATATGAATGACTCAGAATTAAACTTTGTTGGCCTCGACTGACACATGGCTTATGGATTGACAAAATTTGAATATTATTATGGTGTCATGGATGCACAGGTGAGCTTGAAACAGTCTCCATTGAAAGTCAGCACATACAACTGAGCATGTAGCTTAGAGGCTAAAAGGGATTAAGGTCTTCACAAGGGCAGGGCTAATGAACTGCACCATTTTATCTTCGACATGGCTATTTCACTTTGAAACCTGATTTAGGTCTCAACAGGACAGGACTGTGATTTACATAATTGATCTTCAAGGTGGATGTTTCACTTTGAAGCCCCATATAAATGTAGAGCAATCCAAGTATCTTGTTTAAAGAGTGGCACAGTATATTTCTGAATATTTCATAGAGGTGTGAATCACACTTCAAGGTGTCACCAGTATCATGTACCTGATCCTCATTACCAGATAACACTGCATGATCAGCGGTTGCAGTGATGAGCCTCCCAACCTAACCAGCGTGGCCAAGCTGGTTAGTCACATGATCATCAAGGAGATGGCGTTAAAACTCAAAAGTCAGCCAGCAACCTCACTGGCAACCACTTCCCATGGGACACCACAAGCATGCAGCACCTCTGCTCCCTGTGCCAAGATGACTAACCAATCAATTATCTTCAGATGATCAATAACCTTTAGATGCTCTGCAGTGCCTTCCACACCAGTGTGCTGACTCACCCTGCTTGGCACGGTATCCCAGGCGGCGGGCCTTTTCGGGACGGGTGGGCCGAACACACCGGTGGATCTTGTTCAGCTGGCGGTACTGCCACATGCGGACACGCAGCAGGTACCTCATCACATCACTCTGCTTCTTGCGCCATAACTCTTGCATGTACTTGTAGGCTCCCATCTTGGCCTATGGTCTGAAAATGAATAACACATTTAGAATGGTGCATCACTAGGGTCTATATGACTCAATATGCAGAAGCCTTGTTGAATGGTGTGCTGGGATGCACCAAATGTGTTGGTCATTTTAGGCCAAACATAAATTTAGTGCTAATACACAGCATATCCTGTGATGCACAGCTGACCAAACTAATGTAGAATAGTAATTTTGGTTGTCCTCAACTTGAAACCACTTGACCCGATCCCATCAATCAGGCTGTGAACCAAGTCCTTCCATAATTCACTGTTGTTATCATTACAACCTTACAATGGTTTGCTCAGCTCAGCAATGGTTGTGACAGCTCCATTGATGAGGCATTGTGCTGTCACCTGCCTCATGCCCTCGCAGGATAATTGGCACCACACAGCAAACTGGGTACCTCTGATTTGGGCAGGCACTGCCCAGCATCAAACCATGTACCTGATTTTCCAAGCTTGCAGTGGCACTGCACGGCATTGAAACCCTGTGCCTCTGGTTTTCCAGTCATGCAGCGATAAACACTGAAGCACTAACCACTGTACTATTGGCACCCTCATGATTTACTGTTCAGCTGCAGCATGTATAGTGCAGTGCAGCAAGTGTAATCAAGTGCAGTGCAGTGAAGTGCAGTGCAGTGCAGCAAGTGCAGTACAGGGCAGTACAGCACATGCACCTGCACCAACTGTCAACATTGTAAAAGAAGTGTCAATACTTGTTTGCCCAACTACAAATGTGGATCATAACAGCTCTGTTTGTTACAGTGCCTGCATCCTAATTCATCAATCTGTAAAGCTGGTTCAAGTCACTCCAGATGACCAGCTACTATTTGCCCAACTGGCACAAACTCCGGCTTGTGACAGTGGCCACAGCGATGACAGATGACCAGATGGACACCATGAAACATTGTCTCATGCTGAGCATTTTAAAGGACCACTGCTACCTAGAAGTGCATGACAATATGGAATAGCCATGGCACTGCTTCATATGGGTGCTGACCTTCAGTGATGCATCCAATCCCAGTTTGGGCTGAATCATTAAAAATTATAGCATTTATTCAAAAGCCTAAACATAACCCTACTCTTACACCCTAGCTTAATATAACCTGATCCAGTACCAGCCTCAAACCATAAAAATAGAAGTGCTTTTTCACCACAGCATTCCAATGCTGTCAATAGCAGAGACCCAACATTGGAAGATACCATTTCACAAACTAATTGGCATGTCAAGGAAGCCCCTGCCTCATCCTGCTCACAGGATTACACTTATATCCCTGCTGATATAAACATGCCGGTCTTTCACAAGATTGTGCTTGCATCTTTCTTGAGACAAACATGATGGTCTTGAGAACAACCTATCACTGATACAAAATATTACATAAACCAGCTACACACAATTGTATGCACTAAATGTGACCTATTTTATAAAATTTATGTTACCTTATGTTCTCAACTTTCAGTGGATATTTATGACATAGCAACAATATTTCAAAGCTTTGACATGCGTCTCAGTGTAAAAGATCTTACAACTCAGCTTGTTAGGATCACTTTCAATACCACTTGGAAGCAAGACACAAGATGTTAGAAAAAACAGACATTCAATGAAAGATGGTGACCAAAAATATGGTGCAAGGTGATCATGCACTATATTTTGCAGTAATGAAGAAACTATCATAGATGACATGGGAAAAACCCTGCCTTACTGGGACTAGTAGAACTGCTTTATAGCCATGTCACGCAAAACAAAACAACATGCCAAGGAACAAACAGGGCAGAGCATTACAAAAATGTTGTTCAACCATTCTATTATCAAAGGAATAATGTTGATATTCTGAAGAGCCAATGTTGCCCTGCACTTGCATGGTACAATAATATGGTGTATTAAGGCAACAAGTGCATCAGCAAAAAGGAGAACAAAACTTACTGCCAAGGAATGAAACACATTTAAAGTTTGTGCAGCAGGGCCATTTCTTACCAGCTCCTCATGAGAATAACACCTGTATTTTATTATATATGCAGCGCCTTTGATATAAGAATTTATATGGCTATGCCATGTAAGTGAATTTCAGCAATGACGTTTATTTTGTAGCACCAGCAAACAGCATGAGCTGGTTGAAGCCGTTTCCACCTCTTATACCCCACACAAGAATGACAACTGGTATCACAAGCTGACAGCACTGTTACAGCAGCCTGTATAGCATAACATTATGTCATGTCATGTCATGTCAACATGTCATGAATATTTGGGCTTTAGGGCTCACCAACTGCTCTACTATGGTACCAGTCATCATTTCTGCCAGTTACCACACACTGGCAAATCAGTCCATGAGCTGGATTTAATAGTGTCCAGCAGCCAGCACTCAACACACATGTTAAGCTGAACATGTCCTGAGCAGCAACAAAACTGTTACAACAATGCAAGCATGTTCATTGTAAATCCCAATGCCAGGAACATAATAATCTGCACTAACTTCAGCACATAATAGCTGATTATCAAGGTATGTTCAAGACAACATGATCCTTTTGGATCAAAATGCTCTCAAAAACTTTAACACACAGTGAAAATTCAGCACAACTTGGCCCATCCCACCTCCTGCAAACAAAACATGAATATAATCTGACCCGGCCCGGGTGAGGTGCTCACGAGCACAAAGGTAAGCAGCCCAATATTACAGATATCTGGCACAATGGATGTGGGGTTTGCAGGCTGGGCCATCAGTGACAATGTGTGCATGAATACCGACCACTGGCTAGTGAAGGCACTTACGGCGCAACGGTAAACACATCCAACAATAACCCCACTAGCACGCTATGTACGTAACAATGCACCACTTCTCATGCGCCTACAAACACGATGGAATGCCACGCTGGCATGCAATATCATCGGCTACCGTATCATGCAGCACGGACAAATTTTGACACCACGCACTCACCGCTTACGACCGGAAGAAAAGGCCGTGGTGATGTTTGTTTGGTGTACCCTAGCTGTGAGCTCATACATTATTTTTTGATAAAATATCGTTAAAATTTTCGATAAATTTTGAGATGCTAAGGTAAAATTAATTTTTTGATATGGTTAAACATGAGGTTCTGATTTGTTGTAAGGAAAAACTACCGTGTATCATATAAGAACTGAACTGTTCCAACTCTTTTTGGTATCCATTGATGGTGCCTCTTTTCAAGAGCATTATTCAAAACTTTTTTGTTATATGCATTTCTTTTACACATATTGATATAGAATGCAAGTCCACGACATGCCATTATATCACTGGCTCAAAATTAGTCATGTTTTGACTAAAATATAGCAAATAAGATCAACAAATGATTTGAAATTTAATTGAAATATGTATCCCGAATGATATTTACCGTACTGAAACCATGGTTACCAATACGCATGCGCAGTATCGTACCAGGTGATTTGTAAACATGGCGAAAATGTGAGGCGAGTGGGTACGTTCTGTGATGTGGTGCGGGTGGCGTTCGTGTTTGAGAGTGCCAGGTGTGCGTGGGTGCGTCATTCTGGTGGAAACAGAACGATAATCTATCGAGTGATGAACCAGTATGGCAGAGCCCAAGACTGTTCCACTGCTCAGTGCTCCCAAATCAGCTGCCAGTGAACCGAAAAAGACGGCCAGAAGTTTGCGGTTCGAGCTTGCTCTACAGGAGACATCGAATGAGGTGTACTCGGAATTCAGCTATACTGAGTTGGTTTCGCAGAAAAAAGTAAGCGATGGGACCCTTAAGATTATGTTCATATGTGCCCACTCTGGCATTGGTGGCGGTGACAGCTTCACACAATGGGCTCGCCATACAGCAGTTGTCCGGGTGTCCACCCAGGTGGGTGCAACTGGAGGGCTGAGACTTGACCTGTGCTTTCTGGTGGGGCGGCCATATTTGGTGGTTGTTATCGCTGTACTGGTTGGCATGGTCTTTCCTGGAATACCAAATGAAATAGTCAGGAGGACAGTTATTTTACATACCGGACCGGAAGAATGACGTTTTTCGACGTGCTTTGACAGCGAGCAACGGTTGGAAACTATTCCGTACGAGCCTGTCCCTGTACAAAGATTTCATTGGGCTGCGTTGCTGCCTGGAAGTGCTCCGTGAGCACGCGTACTCGTGTGTTGCTGGAGCTCCGATTGGCGTACGTTTTGTCGAGACGATCAGTCGTGTGGCGTGTGTGCTGAGAAACTTGTTTGGGTTTTATTTTAGGCGTTTTACCTCATGAAGAAGATCAATGAAGGATAATGTGCTTATCATTCTAGCGTTGTTGATGCATCCATATCTTTTTATTTGAAACATGGCTGTTGCTGGTTCCATGTTTTGCATATGTGATGCAGACATGCTCACACGACATATTCGCTCGATCCTCAGATATATGACACCGATTCGAAAAGTGCTGATCTTGAAGTTGGTTGTATCAGGGCCGGTGGGGGAGGGGATTTACCACACTGACATCAGCCAGTCGACGGACTGCAGGAAGACACATCCTTGCCATGGCGCGCCGCCGTGACCGGCCCGGGCTGGCGCCTGGGCGAGCGTTCTCGGGGGACCAGCCGACGTCGCGCCCCGCTCACATCGACTGACAGAGCTGCTTCACCACCGGCCGGCCATCGCAGCGGCTGGGCAGGTTTTCCTGCAGCCTGACGGGCGCAGCGTCGGGTGCGTTGGCACGCCGCGGTGGCGGGCGGAGTCACGTGACCGGCGGCCGGCGGCTGCGGCGATCCTCGGCGGGCGGTGGCCGTCGGCGTCGGCAACGGGGACAGCGACGACCGACGTGGCCCGGGGCACTTATCGATCGGGGTGGAAGACCGGGCGGTCATGAGCGGGTCACGCAGCCCGCCGCGGTGGGCGGGGCTCCGCGGAGGGGGCGGAGTCACGTGAGATCGGCGGCGCAGCCGCGGGGAAAGCTCTACGGAGGAGACCGGTCCGACGCAGGCGGCGGGGACCGTCGCGAGAATTGCGCGGCCAGACGCGGGAAGGGGCGGGGGAGTATAGCCGGCGGAGGTGATGACGTCACGAGGTGGAGATTTGGAGCTGGCGGGCGGCGGCAGGGGGAGGGGGAGGGGGAGGGGAGTGGTCTGGCGGACGGCGTCAGCCGGCGGCGACGTGCGTGTGGCTGGCGCCCTGGGCCACCTGGGGAAGGCGCCACGTGTTTTCGGCCGTGGGCGGCATGTGCGGCGGCGTCGCCGAGCGGGGCGCGCGGGGTTTTCGTGCTAGCTACGGTGGCAGGCAGTAGCATGATGCTGCGTTTCATGTGTTATTAATTTTGCACGTCGGTATGCCGACTCCGCTTAATGTCGCACTGAATGTTCTGTGTTCATTTATGGATGAGACATGGGAAATTTGTTCATGGAATTTGGTAACAGCCGCAAGTCCACTTGAACGGGGTATGACCTTATGGCACTGGTGAGAGTCCTTTTGTAAAAAATGGTAACACCTTTTTTGCAAACTTGTAGGCACTGGACAGCAATTAGTTCTGGTGGGGATAGCACTGGATGAGCCAGCGGGCAGTAAGCAGTTCTGGTGGGAATAGCATGGGATTAGCCATGCGCCTCTGGCTCCGGCCAAGTACACCGCTGTTGAAAAAAATCGGTGACGTAACATTCCGTGAGCAATTTGATAAATGTTTTCAGAGACGTCTGCAGGCCCCAGTAGCGGATATCGTTAGTTTGTGTTAGCTGCTAGATTGTTTTTGCGGGACAATTACAATTGAAATATCAATTTTGGGCGTTGCATGCGCGGCGCTAGGTGCTGGACATGGATGCAATGCCCATAGAATATTTAAGTTTGTATATTTAAGAGATTTAGCCCACCCAAGACGTTTTCCTGTGTCGGAAGACGTGACAAAGCGTGTTATCGCAGCAAGCGACTATTTAACTGCGGAAAATACATAACAACAAAAATGTAGACCTTTTGCACTTTGTCAGGTTACGGCAACGTAACATTAGAGCCGAAGGTATCGTCAAAAATTCGAACTACGCATGTTCAGTAATATGTCTGCCTTCCTTCTCCCCTCAGGTTACACTCTGCTCACGTTGGGCTACCCCCTCCCCCTCCGTCCCCCTGGTTACATTATGGCTTAGCGTTCCAAAAAGAAGCGTTAGTTTAGCTTCTTATGGGCTAGAAATGCGAAGCAAGTAATAAACTTGTTCCTCGTTATGACAGAAAGCGCACCTAACACGTTACGTAGCGTAACGTAACGTAAGTAGCCTTCATGTTTCGTGTTGCAGTTTTTTTAGATTTTGGCATGATTTTCAACCATATCTGAGCGTAACGTAACGTCCTGTGTGTGTGTGTGTGTGTCATTGGGGCTTTACGACGCACTCAGCTGCTGAGGCCACATGGCGTCGCCTGTCTCTCACCCTGGCAGGAAGGGCGGGCACCGCGCGGAATCGAGCCCCGCGGTGTAACGTCCGATTCATGCCCTCCCCTTCCGTTACGCTTCTGTCACGCCCATTACCCTCTCCCCCCCCCCCCTTCTTGCATGACGTAAGCTATGGACAGCCCCTAAAGCTCCGCTGTAGGACTGGTGCGTGAGAGTGGTGCCCGCCTTTGACAATATACATGTTAACATTAAAACTTCGCAGAGGTATCGCAGCGTAACGAGGGAAGATCCAGCCGAATAAAGTACGACGTGAAGTAACTCGATATGCCAATGTACCGTTGTACGTTGTACATTTCGTACTCGTCGCGTGCTTTTTTTGGGGGCCTCGGGAGCATTCAACATAAGTCGGTTATTGTCAATTGCTTCAGTCGCCTCTTTCTTGTTGCCATCAATATTTGTATTCCTGACCTGATTTCGTGTGAGCAAGTAGCTGCAACGGGTTTAGTCAGAAAGAACCTGTTCGTGCGCTGACGAAGGCATTGACGGTTTCGCGGATAAGAAAATAAGACTGAAACTTTTGTCAGAGGAACTTTCGTGACTAACCTTGCCTTTTTGGGTTGTATGTAGCGGTAGATGCGGACAACGCATCCATTGATGAAGTACACGTTTGTTTGATTCTCTGACGACAAAAGCCAGCAGTCATGTGCAGATGTTCCGCCGGAAGATCAGTGGGCAAACTCATACGATGCGCTAGTGATGGGGTGAGGGAGTGGGGCGCCCTGCACGGTGCCGGGACTTGGGTTGACATTGGGGCACGCTGGCTGGCGGTGACTGCACAAGATGCGGATGCGAGTGCCGATACCGGGCAGACTGGGCAGGCTGTTCGCCGGCCGCGCTTGACCGTCAGCGGTGGGGCCGGCTCGGTGCCGACCCGGGTTTTATACAGAGTCGTCTGTTTCGGCAAGGAATTAAAAACGAGGCGGCGCCGACTGAGTGTTGTGTTGGGTGGCATGACGTTTGGTTCGGTTCCTAGGATTTTTTCGGTCTTGTATTTTGTTTCGATAGACATGGTGGTGTTCGTCAAAACGATGATACTTCACACGTCGCCCACCGTTACGTAGATAGCGAGTCGGAAATTTGATCTATTGGTGGCAATTGCATTCGCTCACACCTGTGTCATGCATCGTTATCCGCATTCCTATGTTGAGGAGACCGTACATGGCTCAGTTGTGTGGCTCCAAATCCCTACTTTCGGGGCAGCTCTTGCGTCACCCGAGTGATGGAAACACCTGTCGAGCGGGCTGATGGCAAAGGAACCGGTTTATGTGAGACACGGCACAGTCACAATGCCCGAATGTCTAGCCTGCCGCCACGAGCTGCTCGCGACGCGTCGGTGGTCCGCCTTGGGGAGCATTCGCACGTGTGGCCGTAACCATCCGTGTTGCCACCACCAGCCAGCGTCACAGTGGGTGACGCGTCTACCGCTCGAGCTCGAGCTAGCTGCGGGCTCGGCGACGCGTCAGCCACGTCCCGTGACGCGTCAGCCACGCCCCGTGATGCGTCAGCCACGTCTCGTGACGCATCAGCCACGTCCTGTTACCCGTCAGCCACGTCCCGTGACGCGTCAGCCTCGTCCCGTGGCGCATCAGCCTCGTCCCGTGACGCGTCAGCCACGTCCTGTAACGCGTCAGCCACGCCTCGCCGTGTGCGTGTGTGGCAGGGTCTTGGTAGGCCCGGGCGGTGCGGACATGGGGAAAATTGAAAGCAAGACGCACACCCCGCAGGTGGCACGGACGTGCCTCCCACGAGACGTGGCCCACTGGAACATAGCTTTGCTCTAATTCGCATTGATTAGCGGACCCCTGTGAACAGACGGCCAATGAGTGCCGCGGGCCGGCACGGCGGTGCTATACTGCCTCCCGCTTGTGACGGTCCGTGGCAGTCCGTCGTGAGCTCCATGACATTCAGTCGTGAGCTCTGTGGCAGTCCGTCGTGAGCTCCGTGACAGTCCGTTGTGAGCTCTGTGGCAGTCCGTCGTGGGGTCTATGGCAGTCCGTCATGAGCTCCGTGGCAGTCCGTCGTGAGCTCCGTGACAGTCCGTCGTAAGCTCTGTGGCAGTCCGTCGTGGGCTCTATGGCAGTCCGTCATAAGCACCGTGACAGTCCGTCGTGAGCTCCGTGGTAGTCCGTCGTGAGCTCTGTGGCAGTCCGTCGTGAGCTCCGTGACAGTCCGTCTTGAGCTCTGTGGCAGTCCGTCGTGGGCCCTATGGCGGTCCGTCGTGAGCTCCGTGGCAGCCCGTCGTGAGCTCTGTGACAGTCTGTCGTGGGCTCTATGACAGTCCGTCATGAGCTCCGTGACAGTCCGTCGCGAGCTCTGTGGCAGTCCGTCGTGGGCTCTATGGCAGTCCGTCATGAACTCCGTGGCAGTCCGTCATGAGCTCTGTGACAGTCTGTCGTGAGCTCTGTGGCAGTCCGTCGTGAGCTCCTGCGTGAGACCTTGAGATGGGCGGCGCCAACGCTCCTGCCGTCGACACGCGCTGGTGTTCGTTACAGCATCAGCCTAGCACCGCGGCCGGTCGGCGAGGTCGGCCGCCGAAACGGCGTCCAAAAGCGCACGGCCGGCTGCGAGCATCAGGCTGTCGCCCCGGGCGGGCGTGGCGTGCGCGTGCTGACGGCATGACGCCTGCGTGCCCCAGGGCTGCGCTGGTTAGGGGGTCAGGAGTAGTGCTGGCGTATGGCGGCTTGCTTGCGGTGCGCTGACCGAGTGTGTCCCGTTTATAGGAGAAGCACGTGCAGCTGAAGGTGAAGGCCAACGGCACTCACGCGTCCGAGGATCCATTCGGTCGCCATGGCAACGATGATGTCAAGGAGATTGCCAAGAGGTTCGAGGAGAAATACGTGAGTCGGCCAGCGATGCTTGTTTTTTCAGCATACTCCCACACTTGGCGTTTCCTTGACCGCAATCGGCTTGGGCACCACAAGAGCAATAAGTGTGGCCATTGCTGCACTTTCCTGCGGCTCGACGGCAGGTTTACCGTCATTCGTACGTGTAGTTGCATGTTAGGCTGCCGGGCCATACAGGCACAGCTTCGTCAGCGGGCTTTTCCGTGCAGTTGGCCTGCTGCCATCCTGGTGTGCACTCAGCCGAGCGCTCCTGGCCGTCTTACCTGACCTTACCTTACCTGACCTGGCCTGACCCGACCCGTACGGCCGCAGGGCACGGGCGCCGGCATGCGGCGGAAGAAGCACAAGGATGTGGCGGAGCTGGGCGTGGGCTACGACGAGACGGATCCGTTCATCGACAACTCGGACGTGGTACGTGGGGCGTGACGTGACGCCGTGTGGCGCGACGTGACGCCGGGCGGCGCGAGGCACGGCCGCCGCCCTGTGCTGGACGACGTGCGACGCCGGTCGGAGGGTGCGTCAGGGGCGTGACCGAGACCGCCCGCTCGCTCCGCGGTGGCGAATGCCCGCCGAGAACTGATAGCAATGGGTAGCGCTGTTTTGACTTGTCAAGTTCATATGCGAGCTATGCTATTGCTATTTTGAGCTGTATTTTTGTTCTGTATCCGCTATCCCGCGCCGGTGCACTATGGTGTATCTGTATTCGTGTTTTCCTTGCTATTTTTTCCCGATACGTGTCCGATTTCAAGGTAGCCCGGCGTGTGCGTAGCTGTTGGACGTCACCGTTGGAAGGCCTGATGTCGAAAGTGCGCTCCCCACCGACCCTCCCCTGTTTTCGCTGCTGCCCTGTCATTAGTTCATGTGGCACTGAACACCAGCCCGTCGCAGCCCTGCTGTGATGTGGGTCGGCTTTGTTGTACCCGGCGTTATCCGCGCTCGTTGCGGCCTCGTCAGGATCCCTTCCTGGCCTCGTTTCCGCCTCAGTGTCGGTCTCGTCCAGTCTCGTCACGTCCGGGTCTCGGCCCCAGTCTCAGTCTTTTCTCAGCTCTTAGCGTTCTCCGTCGAGAACTTTTTCCAGCTCTGGTCTCGGTCCCTGTCTTGGTCCCCTTTGGGTCTCTGTCTTCGTCCCAGTCCCGTTCCCTGGTCCCGGTTTCTCCCTGTCTCGGTTTCTGGCATGGTTTCGGTGCCGGTCCCTACCCCGGTCTCAGTCCCGGCCTCGGTCTCCGTCGAGAACACGATCTTGATCTCGGTTTCAGTCTCTGCCCGAGACCGAGACATGTACCCGGTCCGGGTACATGTCTCGGTCTCGGTCCCAGAGACCGAGACTGAGACCGAAACAGATACCCTGACCGGGCGTAGATACCCTGATATCGGTCTCTGTCTCGATCTCGTGGGTCGGCGGCGTGCTGAATCAGGGCGCGGTCCGTTTCAGTACGATGAGGACCTGCCGGCCAACAAGCGGCCGGCCCGCGGCGGCTTCTACATTAACGCCGGCACGCTGCAGCTGGAGCTGATCGAGGGCGCCGCGCCCGACCGGCCGCCCGCCGCCAGACGGAAACGGGTGAGTTTCGGGGCTAGGGTGGGCTACACCGGGCTGGAGTGCCGCTCTTCGCGGGGGAGCGGGAGGGCGGCGTAAGCTGATTTGGGTGACGTGTTCTTGGTCTGTTTTAAACGTGACAGCCGCTGCTGACTTGCTACTGATTTCAACCGTTTGTGGCGTGGTGAAGCGCGACAGCCGTGGATGAGCGTGACTAGCTCCCGGACGTGGGCTGGCCGCGTGATGCTGGTCGGGTGTTATCCCGCCCTGTCGGACGCAGTTTGACCGCTGCGAGCTGGTGATCAGCGTGGATGGCTGACCGGTGACGTCATTCGTCTGTAACATCGCCAGGTGCGTCGGCTGAGCTCGGACGCCGACGATGACGTCACGACCGGCGACGACCAGGAGCCGGGCGGCAAGCGGCCGCGCAAGCGGCTGGGACGGCCGCCCAAGAAGGACGGCACGCTGCTGCAGAAGAAGAAGCGGCGCGCCATCGACGGCCTGCTCAAGAAGAAGACCAGCCTCACCGTCAAGGAGATGATCGAGCAGAAGAAGGCGCAGAACCGGCTGCAGAGGAGCAGCCCGTCGCCTCCGCCCGACTCGCCAATCGCGCCCGCCGGTACGGCAGTGGCCCGGCGTCCGAGCCCCGACCGTCGGATGAGCCCGGGCCGGCATCGCTTATTGCCGCACACGGCGGCGCCCTCTGTGACCGGGTGTTGATGTTGGGAGGGGGGATGGGTGTCGGATTGGTCCCGACGGCACATGGTGGGGCCTACAGTCTCGAGGGACATTTATGGCGGCGACCACGTCTGTCGCGGCTGATGACGACACGGTCACCTGTGTGTTGCGCCGCGCCGGCGCCGCCGTCTCGCCGGGCGGACTAGCGGCCGCCGCCTGTCGCCGCTCGCCGCCCCGCTCCGCCACTCCGCTGACCGTCGCCCTGACCCATGTCCGGTGTGCCGGCAGCGGTGACCGACGCGGCCGCTGGCGGCGACGCGCCCGTGCAGGCCAACGGCCACGACTCGATGGACGAGACGATCGCCACCGTGGTGGCGGCGGCGGCACGCCAGGCCGCCACGCCGCCGCCGCCGCCGCCGGCCGCCCCTGCTGCTGGGAACGCGTCGTCCTCGTCCGCCGGTGAGCAGGGCACGGGAGCAGCACGATCACGGTCGGGACGGGTGTGGAGCCCCCCGCAGAGTGTGGAGTGGGTTCGGTCGTCTGTCCAGGCGTGGGCCATCTGTTACGTGCCTCCACGCATGTGTTGTGTTTTATATGTGCTTGGCAGTCGTCACTGGCGAGTGTTGCTGCACCTGGGAAGCCAGGTGTATGGATTTGTGTTTTTGGAGGCTGGGGAAACAGCTGCGACAGCCGGTATTTCGTTACGTACGGCGTAGTGGAGCCGGTTCGCTGATGCAGCAAAAAATCTGCTCGTCCTCTGTCACAGCGGCGAAACGTGTGAAGCGATTCACACCGCCGGTGTGTTCTCTGCTGGCTGTTCCACCCACGCCATTTTCCGCCATCGTCCACTGAACGTTGCGGCCGAACGTCGTTCTCGCTGCGTCTCTACAGCCGACAACTCGTCAAGCGGCGGCGAGAGCAGCAGCAGCGATGACAGCAGCGACGACGGCAGCAGCTCCAGCTCGGAGGGGGAGGGCGGCGGCGAGGAGACGGAGACGGAGCGGGCGCGCCGGCCGTCCGAGGACGATCTGCCGCAGCTGTCGGCCGAGCTGGCCGAACTGGTCGCCGCCATCAAGGCGGCCGCCGTCGAGTCGAACGGCGGCAAGCAGAAGTTCTTCACGCCCGAGGTCAACAAGATGCTGCTTAAGTACGCACGGCGGCTGGGGATGGCGGGACGTCGTGCTGGTGTTAGCGTCGCTCAGGGGGTGAAGTCGCCCTACTACGGTCTACGTAACGTTTGCCCCGTGCCCATTAAATGGACACTCCTGCGTCATCGCAGCTCTGATAACATGTATTTTAACACGAGGTCGCTATCGGTCACAATAATCACATTCGTGGCTCAAAGAAGAGCACTTGTTTTCCGTGAGACATAGACCGGATCTCCACCCTTCGACCTACGCACACTGGGCCGGCCGCGCACTCGTACCGCGTGTGATCCCCCCCTCCCCCCTCCTTCCGCCCCCAGTATCGAGCTGCGCAGTCAGCAGGAGCTGCTGCGTAACGACCGGCAGGCGGTGTACCTGCACCTGGCCGCCCGACTGCCCTGCGGCGCTCAGACGCTCACCAAGCGTGCCAAGCAGCTGGTGCTCAACGAGGAGAAGCACGTGATCCGACGTCCGCTCAACCGGTGCGTGAGGCTGCCGACGCCGCGGCGAGGCCGCCCGGTCGCCGCGGCCGTCGGTCGGCGTGCCGCTCGGACGGGGCCCGTGCTGCCTGTTCGGGGCGGCCGGCGCTCGTGCCGGGCACTGGTCGGTGGTGGCGGCTGGCAGTCGCGCGATCTGGCGGACGAGGTCTGCGTGTGCTATGTGGTGCGTATGTGCTGACTCCTTTGTTCTGCTGTTATTTGTCGTGTGTGTGTATGTGTGCGTGTGCGCGTGTGCGTGTCCGTGTGTTTGTTGACCGGCCTTGTTAATTGTGACTGCAGGTTGAAGGAGGCCATTGATGCAACGATGCCGACGCTTCAGGAGCGCTACGCAGAGGAGTGCAAGAAAATCATGGAGGCCAAGTACGTAACCTGGCGCCGTCGCGGCTGCGCTGAGTTCCGTACCCGTGTGGTCGTGATGACGAGCGGCTTATCGTTCCCATTCGCCGTGGCTCAACACCTGCTGTTGTAGCTTCGTTTGCGTCTGTTTGGACGAGCGTCAGAGCACTTCAGGGGGCGTCCTTTGTGGCGGCGCCGCTGGGGATTGTCGCAGGACGCCGACGCCGCTCGACTGTGTCCCAGTGAACGGTATGCTCACGCTCGCCGTTCTCCACCACAGCCCCAACTGTTACTGGGAGCTGTATTACCAGTTTTGGTAAGAGCGCCGCCACCTGACCTGTTGTGCGCGCGCAGCTTTGGGCCCGGGTTGCGGGCCGGGCCGTGCTGGCGCGCCTTGGCCGGCCGGGCCGGTAGCCTTGGCCGGCGGTTGCGGTGTCGCTGTCTGTCCCTGTCTGGACTCCTCTTTCTCCGCCTCTGTCGGTGCGGGCCGGTGGCTGCAGTGGTGACTGGTGGGGATGTGGACACTAACGGAGCCGGCGGCGGCGGCGGCGCTGCCGGCGGAGGTCGCGCTCTTCCACCCCACCGCCGTCGCCGCCGCCGCTGGTCGAGGCGGGCATGGCTGGTGAAGAGAGAGAGAGAGAGGGAGTGCCGCTCTGGGATGGGAAGGCGCGTTGTTGGGACACGCTGATAAAGTTGCGCTGATTCAGATGTAGCGCACTGATTACAGTCTGGCGGTGGATGTGAAATTGTAAATAGCACGATATGCTTGGTGACTTAGTTTACTCAGTGAATGGTCTTGAACGGGTTGGACTTACAGGCGAGCTCTACTTGCAATGAAATTGAACAATTCATCATTTCTTTTGGCACTGGGCGTCAAAGACCCATGCAAATGGCTCGCCCTTTCGGACGGAATTATTTTCATGCTGTCCGCGTTATATTGTGGCAGCTCTTTGTCGTGTGAATATGTGTGAAATACCTCACATTTAGCTCGCCTGGATTCAACCGGTTTTCCCAGCGTATTGTGAACGGACAGGCGCCAGCCTCAGTCATTACAACTTCGACAATGTCTTTTGCTGGTCTAAATCGTCACTCGATGTTGTCGAGCGGCGCGTCGTAACGTGGCGGCCGCGGCGTGCCGAGTCCTTGCGAGCGCTGCGCAGTGTGTGACCGCGGCGCCACCGGTGTCGTCAGGGACCTGCCCATGCCCGATTCCAAGAAGGCGGAGCAGCCGGCCAAGGACGATGCCAAGCCGCCCAGACTGCCGCGCAAGCGATTCCGTTGGAGTGAGGCCACCAGGTACTGTGGGGACGGCCGCGTGTTGAGCCGCGCGCCTCAGGCTGTCCGCTGGCGCCGGCTGTCGGCGCGCTGTGAGAGCGGTGGATGCCGCGGCCCAGCACTCTGTCCGTGGCGGGCCGAAGCGGGCCGCCCGGCACCGACTCTGGCTTATCCTCGCATAGAGCGGACCGGGGGGGGGGGAGAGGGGAAGGGGGAGGGCATCGCTCGCGTAGTCTCCTGCGGACGGGCCCTGGAACACGGGTTAGGCAAACGTGACGCGGACCGTGGAGAAACATTTTAACGACTCGGATATCGGCCCTGCCAGAAAAGCTTTGAGTTACATCCTTTTTAAGCGGGGTCACGGTTTTGGTTCCCAAGAGCAGTTTTACTCAACAAATAACTGATTAATAAAATCTGGCAACTTGTAAATTGACTTCAAATTTTTGCGCTCTAGCCCGTGATGTAACAGTGCAGCTTGAAACACTGGAAATTGCGAGCACCGTTGTTAATACTATCGATGCTGTAGGCAGATAGACTGGTCAGACGGCTGTTGAAGCCGTTGGCGCTCATTTTGGCACTTAATGTTGTCGCGTCTGAACACCATGATTGGCCATGTAGCGCCTGATGATCAGCGTCGATGCATGTCGTTCAGGTCCGTTTGAAGTCCATCAATGCTGCACCCACCAACAAAGTCCTGCGCAACCCATTGTGTGTCAGGTGTCACGCATTGTGTCAGCAGGCCTTGAAGGCATACTCAGCGAGCCGAGGCTGGTGTGTGCTGGGTAGCGCGCGTTGAACGGATCCGTGTCCGCGTTGTCCTGTGTTCCGCTCTATGTCGATGTTGATGCACGTATGCCGTGTAAAGCTGGGCACAGGCTGACATTACCGCGCCGGTGATTGTGATTGCACTGGCGCGCCTCCTGCCGTGGATTGTGCGGACCCGGCGCCGGTCGGCCAGATGGCGGGGTGGGATGCAGTGACGACGACGCTGGGGGTGGCGCCGAGCGCTGACCCGCCTCTGTCGCCAGCACCCGGCTGCGGCGCGTGGTCGAGGTGCGCGCCCACTCGTTCAAGATGCTGAAGAAACGCCAGGGCTCGGCCGAGGAGTTCCTCAAGACCTTCCTGCAGACGGACGTGCTGCCGCTCTGGGAGAACGGCTGGATGACGGCCAAGGAGCTGATGAAGCACGCCCTGCCCGTCTTCCAGGAGGAGATCAAGTGAGTTGACTGGCATGCGGGCTCGGCTCGACTCGGCTCGGCATCGCCTCAGGAACTCGTGCCTTCCGCGCGTACCGCCCTGTCGCTTCGGTGGTCTCTTAATGCATGCGCATACTTGCAGCGATGACGAATAAAGGTGCTCGATCTCGTGCGACGTGGTTGCATGCGATATGGCCGGTGAGGAGGGCCGGCGAGACGGTGGAGGATGGCTGTGGTCGGTGGCTGGACCACCGCATCCTGGTCGTGCGGAGCGGTGACTGGATGATCGTCGGTGAGCGTCGGTGTCGGCGACGCACGCCGCGAGCGGGCAGATGGACTCGCATCCAACACGCGGCTGTCGCGTGAGCTTCCACCGTCAGGTAGCTGACATTGCTGGCTCTCGGCCTGGCCGCCGGGCGCGTATGCCAGCGGGAGATGCGATAACGGATGGTGTTTGGGCGACAGTTGCCGTGACAGAGCGTGGGTGAGCCAGCGGTCGGCGCGTGGTCAGGTGAGTACCGGGGACCGCCGCCGCGGGAGACCCACTCGTGATGGCCGCATGATGCTCGGCCGGCGTACCCGGCTTGACGGCCCGCTGTGCGGCCGGCGGGCCGCCCCCGGCCGTGCATGACTCGGCCGCGCTCCGCTGCTGCACTGGTTCCCGGCGCCGGCAAAACTCGCCCGGTCCCAGCACTCGCCGCTGATGGTTTGCCGCCCGCCGACCACGGAGATGACTCGACAGTGCGGAGTGGGGATCGCAGGTCCTTGCGCTGGCCGGGTGAGCCGCAGTGCCGACTCTAGTGAACGATGTGAGCATGTGGTGCCCTCTCCCCCCCCCCCCCCCGCCGTCACAGCGCCACGTCTACCCCGACTGTCGAGGGCGGTTGTCGGACGCCGTGGCCTGTCGTAAATGAAACAGCTCGGGAATGTCAGCTGTTTCACCCGCTTAACAGTATTCGCTCGTTTCTCTGTGACAAAGTGGTCGTGGCAGTTTCGTGCTGGCCATATGGTTGCCGTTGGCGGGATTGCCTGCGGCGGCGAGGGAGGCAGCGTCCAATGACAGCGGCCCTTCACGGTTACGTAGTTCTGCGGTGGAGCGTACGCGAAATGACGGAGATATGGAAGGGTAAAACGCTTGTCATATGTACCGAGTAGCGATAAATTATCGACGCAATGAATGAAATTGTAGATACGTTTCACATAGAATAGTAGGGTGGGAAGTCGGTTGGCAAGACTGGAAGCGTGATCGGAATAAAATGCAGCATTGCCCGAACAAAGGGTGCGCATTGACTAGTTTGGCCCGAAGAGCAGGTCATGTATTACCCCCCCCCCCCCCAGTCTTGACATAGGCCAGGTCAGGCAGACGACCATGTCGTGTCGTCATCGTCCTCCCCTCCCCCCGCACCTCCACCCGCCCCACGAACCAGCGGAGGCGAGTGCACGCTTGACCGGCTTCATGCGCTTCATGCAGATGCGGTGTGCCATCCGCACGCGCACACAGGCAGACAGCACGGCGCCAGGCGACTGAACAGCTGGAAAGTCACGTGGTCGTGCGAGGCCTATCGCAACGTGGCCGAGTCGCGGGTGCGGTTCTCGTCTGTTTAGGCGGGATGGGAGCGTTGCGTGCCGCCTTATGCAGCCGCAAGGCACATTTTAGACCGAATACCGCCAGACACGGCACTCTTAATGAAAAGGACGTGATCACTTGAAGCGAAGTTTTTTTCGTCCTGTTTGAATACGTTTGGTGGTTTTGCCGACATTGCTCGTTACGTACTCTGGGATGCAGAGGCGTCATGCCCCATACCATAGCATGTTTTGCATAATCTCAATTTCCTGGAAAGGTGTACTGGATCTAGACCGATCCAAAGCTGTCTTTTCAGCTTTTTCTTCTCTAAGATATTGATGTATGCAGAGGCGTCATGCCCCATACCATGGCATGTTTTGCATAATCTCAATTTCCTGGAAAGGTGTACTGGATCTAGACCGATCCAAAGCTGTCTTTTCAGCTTTTTCTTCTCTAAGATATTGATGTTTTTTCGGCCACGTCGCCCGGTGTTAACGTCGGACCACAGTGCTTAAGTCTTTCCTAAAACCTGCAAGAATTATGCCGTTTATTGGCCGAAAGAACGCACGCCGCACAAATCGCCAAGGCTTGACATCATTGGCTCGTGTGTCAGCGGGCCGCGGAGCCCATACTGAGTCAGACGGCGGCGGTCAGGTGAGAAGGCAGAGGGCGCGGTCGTCTCTTCCTTACATCGCCGCGAGCGGAGCTGACTGGAGAATCGAATGCGCTGTACTGCGGAGAGCGTCTGGCGGCGCCGGCTCAGATCTGTGGAAGCTGGCGCCGAGTAGCTGGCTGTCGTGGCTGTGTCTCGATGGCCCGGCTTCCGTTATCACCTAAACTGCGCTAACCGCATAAGAGCGCTGGCTTGCTACCCCGATGGCGCCGCTGCGAGGAGTGACCGCAGGCGCTGGTGCCCCGCTGAGAGCGCGGCTCTGTGATTTTGATGCGTCGCGAAAGCCTTCACGTTTGAGCCTGCGGAAATGTGCCGCTGGTTGATAGGCAGTGTTCGTGCTTTCTTCCTGTGAAACTTTGACCCGCGGTCACTCAACAACGTTTGGAATTGATTGACATTCACTAACTGGGTTTGCAGCCTCGCACATTAGAGGACCCGGCTTTCAGGGTTTACGGGACTCGAACATCCGACCTCCGCGTTCAGAATCGGACGCATTACCCCCAGACCAACCCTCCCACCACTGCCCTGTCCGTCGTCTGTACCAGGCATTCCTCGCCGCTGCTGTGTTCCGGCTCCGGTTCGGGCTCCGGCCCGCGGGCCTCACCAGGCCGCCCTGCTCTGCCACGCGCGGAGACTGCCTGCGGCTTGGCTCGGTCACGTGATCAGGCGGCACGCCTCCCCGCCGCAGGTCATCTGTGATCGGTCGTCAGCTCCCTGCGCTGTGTGCGACGGCCGCGACTCAGTGCTGCGGCATACTGGTGTTTGGTGTAAAGTGGCGGTGGGCGCTTACCAAACTCTCCTTACATGCTATGCCGAAATCCGCTTCCATGAACTTTATGTAAAACGAAATGCATCACAAAAATACACAAAATGCATAGCAATACATAAACGAAATATATGTACAGCCAGACTGGTATTAAAATAAACCTGAGATGTGATTGTTTGCACGTGAAAATGAGCAGTGATGAAATGAAGAGGAAATTGCCGCGGCTTGGGTGACGGCATTTCGTTTGATGATCATTATATGGCCCTGGATGTGGATGCCACGCACGGCCCGGTCGTCTGTCGTCATAGTGTTACTCAGCATTGGTGGCGGGTTTCGCCATGGGATTGCGATACTCTTGACTGTCGGCGAGGGCTTTGGTACATGTCACTTTATACGCATTGATCACAGCGGCGATAGTGATTTGGTTGGCACCATGCCACACTTTATACGCATTGATCACTGCGGCGATAGTGATTTGGTTGACACCGTGTCACACTTAATACGCATTGATCACTGCGGCGATAGTGATTTGGTTGGCACCGTGTCACTTATACTGCACCACGTACGCACCGTCTATCACATGAATTTGTCATCCTGCTTGTCTGTTTCATCTTTCACTACGCTATTATTTTTACCCGCTAGCTGAAATAGACGACTTTTTCACTTCAAAGTATTACACCGACTACACTTTACTCTGATTGGTTGCAGGCAACTAGGTCTTATGGATTTACGATGCGTTTACACGGGTGCGATGAACGTTTCAGCTTGGCATTTACATTTGACTTCGCTGCAACGCGTGTTTCACGGCCGTGTTGTATTCTTACATTGGGGTCTTATTTTAAAAGAACTTGTTTTGAACTACGCATGTAGCCCCACACAGTGAACTGCACATTTTGTCTCAGTTGTCCAGACTCGCCTCAGCCAGTGTGCGTTTTGGTTTGCACCTCATCGATGTTATGAATTTAAGACAGTGATGATAGACAGCTGCCCCGGAAATCCAGTTACCAACAAGTAGTCCAGTAGAAAAGTAGTCCTGAAGTTTTTGGAAATTTGTCCCAACAGGAAGTTGTCTTGTTGTCAAGGCCAGTATCTGCGATATATAATCAGACATATGGTCTGGTATTCAAAGCGGGCCCAAGTAGACGTGCCTTTTGCGTGCTCCATTGCAGCTGGGCGGGATGCTGGTTAACCTGGCGTCCTCTGGAATTAGGCATTTAAGTGTCCTTACCGTCGCTCCTGTCTTGTCTCGGAGATGTTCGTCAAAGGAAGGAAGTATTGTTCACTGTTCAGCTAGCTTCGTCCTGGGGAGCGGTGAAGGCTTCATTTACCGATTGATCCCGTACTATTGCGTCACGTTTGAGTCAAGCGGCAACAGCCGGATGGGACGGCAGGCAATCCCACCACGAGCTCACCACCGGCGGAGAGGCCATGGCGCCAGGAACACCTGCATGTCGAGTAAGCTGCTGGGGTTTGAGGACTCCGCCTGTGGCCACGGCTCCGGCCGACCGCGCAGCGCGGTCTCTTTTGAGACCACCGCTGAGGGCCTGCTGAGTGGGCGTGCTGCTGGGGCAAATCTGTCTGGCGCTGTGCCATCGCCCGCCCTGCCGGTCGGGGGACGTGTGCCGATGCCATGAGCGCGTGCCGCCGGTCAGCGACGCTGCACCGTCCGTCCGAGCGGCGCCAGTTTTTGCTAGCTGAGGATGCCTCGCTGCGGGCGGCGGGCGGCCGTCCTACCGCGGGGACCCCGCCCCGTCCATGCCGCAGCTCGCTGACGCCGCCTGGTCCGCCGCAGGAAGAAGACGCGGCCGCAGCTGAAGCCGGCCACGCCGCCGAGGAAGGCGGCGCGCTCCGGCGGCGAAGTGACCGCCAGCGGCGCGGCCAAGGTGCGCACGGGCTCGCCGCGGCCGGCGGCGGCGGCCAGCCCGCGCGCGCGCGCCGCCAGCCCCGCGCAGCCGGCGGCGGACCGCAGCGCCGCCGCCGCCTCCGCCGCTGCCGCCGCCGCCTCCGCCCCTGCTGACGCCACCGTCTCTGCCGCCGCCGCCGCTGCCGCCGCTGCGGCTGTCGCGGCCGTCGCGGCCGGTCAGGAGACGACGCCGGCGGCGGGCGGTGAGGCGCCGCGACCGCCGCCGCCTGTCCACCAGCTGTGGAAGTCATTCACGCCTAACACATCGGTCGAGGTGATGGTGTTGCGGCTCCACCAGCAGATCAAGGACATCCGCAGCCACCTGGCGCGCAAGATGGCCGAGTCCGGCGGCCAGAGCAGCCCTGAGATCGCCAGGTACTGCCAGCGGCCAGCGGTGGCAGAACCATGGGGGTCAGCGTTTTGTAGAACATTACAACAGTCATTGTTTTGTAGAAATCCCATTGTCAATTAGTCATTGTTTTGTAAAATAGTCAGCGCGGCGGTGCCTGGGTGTGCCCGGCGAGGGTGTCCTCTTGCTCGTATCCTGAGTCACTTTTTCGCCTGAGGGTACCAGGACGCATTGTGTCACACACGCGTACACCATTCGTGGTTGTGGTGTAAGGGTTATGGACGCCCACATCGGGTGCTGAAAAGAACGTATGTGTTCAGGTAGACTTGGCGGCACAGGTTGAATGCTGCTGCTGACTCATACTCGTGCTGGCCGGTGACTGCGCTTGATTGACCGATGTTTGATGGTTGGTCTCGCCGGTAGGTACCAGGACGAGCTGCGCCGACTGCAGATGGCGTTTGACGACGCGTCCAAGCTGCAGACCAAGAGAGACAAAAAGAAGCGCGGACCAAAACCAGGTGTCTCGGCCGCCAAGGCCGCCGGCGTCAGCGCCGCGCCGCGCAAGCCGGACGACGGCCGGCCCAAGCCGCCGCCGTCCGGCGCCAGGTCCCCGCAGAAGCAGCCGGCTGGGGAGTCGGCCGCGGCGCCGGCCCGGCCTGACCCGGAGCGGGCGCCGGCGTCGGCCGAGCCTCCCGCCTCGCGGCGTCGGCCCAGTCCAGCACGGCCGGCCGTCAACGGCGACGCCGCCGAGACGGCCGGCGGCGCGGCGCGGACGAAGGGCGAGGGGACGACCGGCGCCGCGCCGCGTGCCAAGGGCGAGTGCGCCGCCGGTGACGCTGGAGTGCCGGCCGGCGGTGAGCCGCGAGTGAAGGTCGAGCGAGCGAGCGGTGAGCGGCTGGCCGGCGCCGCCGCCTCACCGCCGCGGCGATCTGAGGCGGCGGCGCCGGCTGCCTCCTCGGCGTCCGCTGTGCCGCCCGTGGTGGCCGCCGTCGTGGCTGGCGCGCCTGCCGTCACCTCCGCCTTCCAGCTGGAGCTGGAGAAACTGCGCGAGGGCATGAGCAACTCGGCGCAGCGGATGCAGGAGCAACGGCAGCAGCAGCAGCAGGACGCGGCGGCGGCGGCGATGGCTGCTGAGCGCTCCCCGCAGCGGCGCGCCAGCTTGTGCGGCCCGGCCGGCGCCGCGCTGCCCTCGCCAGAGCTGCTGCGCAGCGCGGAGCCCGACCGCCAGCAGCGGGCGCCGCCGGCCGCCGACAAACACCACAGCCCCAAGAAGATCCACCTGTATGGCCGCTCGCAGAGCCAGCCAACGGCGGAGGCGGCCGCGGCCGAAGCGGCGGAGACGGCGGCGGCGGCCGCGGCGGCTGCGGCGGCAGACGAGGCACCGGCCGCCAGCACTGAGCGAAAGCGCTTCCGCGAGATCAACGAGGCCGAGGTGAACGACGCGGTAGCGTCCATCATGGGCGGCGGCGACGTGGCGGCTGACTTCTCGCTCTGCGTTAGCCCGGAGCCGGCGGCTGGCCGGCGCCGCGCCAGCTCCGAGTCGCGCCCGCTGTCGACGCCGACAGCGGCCGACCTTTCGGTGCACCGGCCGAGCGCCGAAAGTCCCGGCGATGGCCGGCGGCCGAGCTGCGACGGCGCGGCAGCAGACGGCCCGCAGCAGGCGCCAGACGGCAGTGCTGCTGCAAGGCTGGCCGCAGCGGACGGCAGACTGTACGGCGAGGGCGGTGCTCGGTTTTCGAGCGCGGAGAGCGGAGGTGGAGGCCGACTTCCGAGCTTGGACAGCGTGGAAGGCGTTCGACAGCCCAGTGTGGACAGTGTCTTTAGTGGGCAGCAGCCTCGGGCGGAGAGTGTGTCGGGCGGCCGGCAGCCCAGCGTGGACAGCGCGGCAAGCTTCTTTGCGCCCAGCTCAGACAGCGTAGCGGATGCGCGCCGGCCCAGTGCGGACGGTTGGGCGGAAGCCCGACAGTCCGCTTATCAGAGTCCGGCGGACTCCAGCCGACACGCAACGGATAGTGTGGCGGAGATGCGTCAACCAAGGACACAAGGTTTCGCTGACTCTCGACAGCCCAGCTCGCAAGGTTTCGCCGACTCTCGAAAGCCCAGCTCGCAGGGTTTTGCCGACTCTCGAAAGCCCAGCTCGCAGGGTTTCTCAGACGTCCGTCAGCCCGGCTCGCAGGGTTTTGGCGACTCCCGACAGCTCAGCTCACAGGGTTTTTCCGACTCCCGACAGCCCAGCTCGCAGGGTTTCGCCGACTCTCGTCAACCCAGCTCACAGGGTGTCTCAGACGTCCGCCAGGCTGTGTCCCAGAGCTTCCCCGATGTCCGCCATCCGGCCGCTTCGAGCATCGTCGATGGCCGCCGCCCTTCGCTAGACGCCCCGACCGACGCGCGCCGACCTGGACCGAACAGCGCGGCCGATGGCCGTGCTCCCAACACCGCCTCCGAGGGCTGGCCGGACGCGCGCGGCGGCGGTGGCCGGCCGGGCACCGACGCCGTGTCCAGCCGTCGCCTGCCGGCCACCGACGGACGGCGGCCGCGCCCCGAGCCGCCTGTCGAGCCGGCAGCGCGGCCGGCTGACCAAGGCTTGGACCTGTCGGCTGCCACAGTCAAGCGCAATTCGCGCTCGGACGAGGAGGCGGCGCGGCCGGGCGCGCCCGACCAGTTCGGCGAGGAGCTCGACTGGGTGATGCGCGAACTTATGAGCTTCAACAACCAGCGCAAGGACACCTCGCCCAGCGCCGAGTCGCGAGCGGCGCGCGAGCCCTCCACGCCGCCGGCGCGCAACAGCATCCTGCAGATGGCGGCGCGTCAGGCGGACATCTTCTCGCCGGAGACGCCGGCGTCGGTCGGCTCGCCGTACAGTGCATCGCGCTCGCCGTTCTCGCCAGATGCGCCGCCGCCGCCGCCGCCGCCGCCGCCGCCGCAACCACCGCAACCACCGCAACCGCCGCAGCCACCGCAGCCGCCGCCGTCGCCGGCACGTTCGACCGCCGCCAGCCTGCAGAGTGCGTTCACGCCGTCTCGGTCGGCCGTGATGGCCGCGTTTGAGGCGGGCGGGCCGCCGTCGTTGCCCAAGCCCCAGTCGCGGCCCGCCTACGACCAGGACCCGTTCGGGGCGGCCAGGACGGGCTGCGGTTCACTGCCGGCACGCTCGCTCGCCACGAGCTGGTCGACGGCGCGGCCGGAGCACCATGCGCATCAGGCGCGCGCCGCGGGCCGCGTGGAGCCGGGCTCTCCGCATGCGGAGGGCCTGATGGCGCATTTCACGGCGCGCGCCGAGCCGCAGACGTCGCCGATGATGCCATCGTCGCCGGCGTCGCCGCAAGCTCGCCAGGCTCGGTTCGGGCACGGAGACGTGAGGGAGTCCCCGCTTGGGGCGCGCGGCGGCGCCTTTGTGTCGCACGCCGCCACCCGCCAGGATCCCCACCTGACCCACTCCGTGTCCCGACAGGATTCCCATCCAACCCACTCCCCCTCCCGGCAGGACCCGCACTTGACCCACGCGACGTCCCGCCACGACCCGCACTCGGCCCACGGAGTGACTCGCTCGCACCTGCCAATGGGCGGCTCTCGTTCGGACATGCCGTCGCCGCACGCGGTGCCGCGCCACGACCCGCAGCCGGGCCGGCCCTCGTCTCTGCACGACCCGCACCTCGGCCTGGCGACCTCCCGCCACGAGCAGCTCTTCACGCACCCCGTGTCCCGACCAAGCCCGCTGCCGCGCGCCGGCGCCCGCCACGAGGCGGCGCCAGGCTCGGGCCGGCCGGACGGCCACGCCGGTCAGGCGCTGTACCTGTCCGAGCCGGGCCCGATGGGACACCTGGCGGCGCGCGCGCCATCGGCCGCGCCCGGCTCGCCGCTGTCCGGCGCGCCGAAGCTGGACCCGGTGAGCGCGGCCCTGTCGGCGGCGGGCGCGGAGCTGGGCGGCCGGCCGGCGCCACGCCGTCTCGGGCCCACGGAGCGGGCAGGAGCGGGCGTCCAGCGCGCACCCTCCTACTACACCACGGACGGTGAGTGGAGGCGGGCTGCGGGACGCCGAGGATACGAAGCGCTCGGCGACACCGCCGGATTGGTGCCTGCCGCTCCCTGGCCCACAGGGCAGTGCATGTACCGGCAGGTGGTTTGTCGCGCTAAATGATATAGCTGTTACCTTCGAATTAAATATGACGGGTGGGAGCTTTGTTCTAGTCTGTAGAGTCGCGAGCTGCGTCTCATATTTGATCCGGCCGGAGATCACGAAGACACGCGGCCTGCTACCGCGTGTCTTCGTCGCCGTGTGCTCATCCTCCGGTCTGGGCTGTAACAGCCCCCCCCCCCCCCCCCCCCCCCCCCCCCCCCCCCCCGCCCCGTACGTTTCCGCGCGCCGTCCTGCACCGGTGGCCGAGGTCTGACTAGCTCCACTGCTCCCCGGCAGCGCTGCCACGGCGGACGTTGGCGCAGGAGGGCGGCGGCCGCCAGCCGCCCGCCTCGTCGCCGTCGCAGGCGGCGGCGCTGGCGGCGCAGCGCGACTGCGGCGCCCTCTTCTCGCCGTACCACCAGCCGCAGGCGCCGGCGTTCCGGCCGCCGGCGCCCCACCCCGAGCTGGGCTCGTGTCAGGTGGGCGAGGCGACGGGCGGCGCTTGCCGCCGTCAGGTGCCGCAGCGCCCGCTGCTTTGTGTCGGCAGACGGCTCCTGCGGAGGCGGCGCCTGACTGCTGTGGGACCCGCTGTCGATGAATCGTCCAGCGCGCTTGAGCCGGCGTCGTGGGAGTGGCTGTACCGCCTGCTTCAGTCGGAGGAGCAGTGAGAGGCCTTATAACGGACGTCGCTTGGTGGGCTACCCCCCTCCCCCCCCCCTCGTGTGGCGGCCTCGCCCCTGACCGGGTCGGCCAGACGGCGAGTCGTTCCGTTGCGCCGCTGACCGGGCGTGCCTGTGCTGACAGTCGCGGTCGACGGCCGGTCTGTACGCGCCGCAGTTCATGGACCACCTCGGCTTCCACGACTCGTCCAGCCAGCTCAGCCAGGGTAGGTCGCAGGTTGTAGGAGCCGCGCCGCCGGTCCGAGCGCTGCGCCACCCCCTTGTTGCCACGAGACCCCCCCCCCCCCCCCTCTCCTCCCCCGCCGGGGGCTGCGAGGCCCGCTGTAAAGGCTGCGTGACGATGTCCAGAAAGGGATATCTTGTTTCTGCGTTTTGAGCCATTTCTACATTCTAAGCTATGATGTTGAAGACAGGCGACCTTCATTGTACCACGGTACAGATATTGAACACACAAGGATACATCAGGTATATTGAATGTCAGTGGGATGGAGCACAATAACCAAGAATGCCGAAAAAGCCAGAAGATCAAGAGTTTTCTCCCTCGCATCAGTCCTGTTTCTGCCGTGCTGGGAGCCGAGCGTGCCAGTCGCGTAGTTCGGTAAACGCTTGACCGTCTCGTCGCCGTTGACAGTAAGCGCTGGGTAGTTTGTGTCTTCATGACGTCATAATGCGTAGCGGTGGACCCGTGACTCTGCGTAAGGTATTTACGACCTCCCAATGACAGACCGGGTATACTCGCTTTTCTAGCATGTTTCTAACATGGACATTCAGCTCATGTCTGGCTGGGATCCAAGTTCTTGCTAAACACGGTGTGCAGCGAAGACCGCGAGTTCACCCCCCAATTGAAGCTGTTCCGGTCCAACGACGATTTTGTCGGCGATTGACCGTGTCGCGCAGTGTCATGACACGGTCGCCTGCGGTTCATCCCGTCTGTGCTGCCAGTCGGCCGGCCAGTTCGGTGGCATGGGCGCTGTTTCTGCGACTCGGGCGGAGGTGTTGGCCGCGGCCGATCACAGTGCCGGACGCTCCTCCATCTAAAGGCATCGACAGCATTGCTTTTGATATTGCTCGTTCCCGAATAGCACCCCGAGATATACGTATTCAGCAGGACGTGCAGGGCACATCGGGGGACCGGATATGCTAGATAACTTGCGATAGGTCGCACGTCACGGTGCGAAAGCACGGCGCCAAGCGTGAAGACAAATCTCCCAGCACAAGCGCCAATAGCGACCAAATCGACTAACGTTCGCATGACTGCGTGGCTAACGAACCCATCTCCCACCAAAACATAAACAGGCTGATGTAAGTAAGAAAACACTTCAAGCTGGGATGTTGCGTGGGCAATGACTGCTTTTTCACGTCTGTTTCTCCTTTCCTTCAGGACCTGGAGTTGCATTATTTTTGTTGATAAAGCTGAATAGTGACTGGTTCTTTGCGTTGGGATCACACTGGACATGGCTGTTTCTCTGCCCGATTCCAGATGAGGCCCGCAGACGCCATCGACAACAGCAGCAGCAACATCAACAGCAGCGCCAGCATCAGCAGCAGCAACCGTATCCGTTTTAAGGACACGCCCGGGCCCGTCCTGTGAATATGTCCGCCAAGTGTATATAGATACATCATTGGCTTGTATTATGGGCCCGATGACTGAGAGCAAGCTCGGTAGACTGTGCCACCACTGCAGCTGCGTTGCGGCATCTATACAACCATTTCTATGAGACAATATATGTTATTTTGTTGCAGAAACTGGTTATTCACTCAACTGGGTTGGCATGTGACTTTGGTGGAGTAGACGTGTTGATCAGTGGCGCGTCGCACGCTGGGGCGCGCCGTCTCAGAATAGACGTGGCGGTGCGTAAGACTGGCGAGCCGCCCCGCCGTCTCAGAGTAGACGTGGTGGTGCGTAAGACTGGCGAGCCGCCCGGCCGTCTCAGAGTAGACGTGGCGGTGCGTAAGACTGGCGAGCCGCCCCGCCGTCTCAGAGTAGACGTGGCGGTGCGTAAGACTGGCGAGCCGCCCCGCCGTCTCAGAGTAGACGTGGCGGTGCGTAAGACTGGCGAGCCGCCCCGCCGTCTCAGAGTAGACGTGGCGGTGCGTAAGACTGGCGAGCCGCCCCGCCGTCTCAGAGTAGACGTGGCGGCTCGTAATACTGGCGAGACGATCAGTGGCGCGTCGCACGCTGGGGCGTGCCGTCTCAGATTACATTCGTCTTGGCCTTGATCGCTGCATGCCTAGCAGAATTGCGGGATTTGAATGGTGTTATTATGACGTCATGTATGCCTGGGTGACCTGGAATAGTCCTTCCCCCCCCCCCCCGAAATAGTCTGCACGTTTTTGCGGACGTGTATTTAAAAAAAAAAATAGAGGGTTTTAGGGCTTGAGAACACCAGGGCTGTGAACTGCACCGAATGATCTTCGAAATGGTTATTTCAGTTCAAAATCCCATATAAATGTGGAGCATGCCCTTGAAGCTTCATCTATCAAGGAGGCGGCAGTGGAACATCCCCGTTTCTCTTCAAGCTGTCTCCTGACTTGAAGTGCACCGTAGCCCTTTTTGTTCGTTATGTGTGACAGCGTAGATGAGATGCAGGCTTCGGTAAGTTCAGAGATGAAACCGACAATAGATTAGCGGCATCTACCGATGGGAACCACAGAGCTGACGGTCCCTTCTCGGCCACACATTTCGAACACGTACATCGTGTAACAACCGACAGTCGATGTAGTGGTACACCGATTGTTGAATGCGTCCTCATTTGATACTGAAATCAGGACGCCGAAAGGGCCAAACTCTCCTGCATCACCTGTCACATAGCTTCTTGGTGAGAGCTCATCCGTCAATGTAGATTGCATCATTGTGAAAGTGTCTGCTCCCAAATCACAACGAGGTTTGGCTCAACCCAAGCAATGCGGCGAAACATTGAAATATACTGCCTGCGCTCACACCATGACTTCATTTGATCAGCGCAAAACTAAGGCTGAGCTCGTAATAAATAGAACAACTCCCAAAAGTCTCTTGGGGTGTCAAAAACAGATACCAAAGACAGAGCTGACAGGAACCTGCCGTTGGCACCGACTTGCGCTTTACGACGCTATGTTTGTTTATCGTTGTACCAATCAGTGCTAGTCTGTGCTTGCGTGGTATTTTTGAATTATATGGGGTTGATTTGCATCTTTCTCAAGCACTGATGGCGTACTTGAGTGGAAGACATTTAGTAAGTAACGCAGGTGGGCACGAGTAGCCGCAGTATTCGAGGCGGCCTAATGACATTAGTTACTTAAATATGCAGGGGCCCTAGACGCTAACAAGCTCTGGCAGTAAGACCAAGCGCTTCTGACCGCAAACGTGCGGCATTTGATGTCCGTGTTGGAGATATATCGCCATAAAGCCTTGCTCGGCACTCAACGCTGGTTGCCTTCTTGTAGTCAGCAGCCCTTTCCTGGCTCCGTTCGATAGCAATGTGTTGGCGTTGCACAGCCAGCAGCGATAACAAACCCCGCTCACGCCGTCTCAGCTGTGTCGCAACGGCAGAAGCGGAAGCGGGTTGGGTAATTGAGAAGTTTGATTTGGCATGATAATTGGAGGTAGTTCAGCCATTTCCACCCACCTTGCAGCCTCCGCCCCCCCCCCCCCCCCCCCCCGTCCCCCGCGCCTTCACAACTGCTTAACTATAGCCCCGATTCCCTAAGTTATGTTTGACGTATGTGTCATGCAGCGTACGTTATTTTTTGGAAATCGTACGTTCCGTCATTATATGAATGGTTCCATCCGATGGCGCTGGTGCTAATGGCTCAATCATTTGCTCATAAAAGGCTGCACTTGTGCGCACTGTGAACCCCACCGAACAAACGTCAACGGAACGTTATGAAGCTACCGGGAGAATATGACAACACCCCAAACACTTGTACGATAGAGCACCAGCTTGTCTTTGAAATGTTACGTCGATGGCGAGCCGCATGCCTCGAAAGAAGGTGACCTGGCATTGTTAAGAAAAAACCCACTTCTTACGCATCTTAACAACTATCTTAGTGGTGTGTGTGTGCGCGTGCGTGCGTGCGTGCGTGCGTGCGTGCGTGCGTGCGTGCGTGCGTGCGCGTGTGTGTGTGTGTGTTTGTGTGTGTATGTGTGTGTGTGTGTGTGTGTGTGTGTGTGTGTGTGTGTGTGTGCGTGTGTATCCGGCTTTAATGGCGAGACGCGCCACGCAGACGGCTGCACCGATCGCGGGTGGCATTTGTATTCGCCGCGCGTGCAACCTTTGTGATGTTTCACAGCACTACTCCACGCCGCTCCGACGTCGGTGACGACCGTAGCACACGCGATGAGGGAGCGCGTTCACGGGTTTCGTAAAGATAAGACCTAACGTGGATGGAGAGAAGAGCAAGGGAAGATCTGGGGATTGAAAACATGTCGCGACAGCTCGAACTGCAATGAACTGAATACCCCCGTTTTCGGCCGCCCACTATTTGCGTTAGACATACAAAATAGCTACGACACTGAGGTTGTACATTCCACGAATCTTCTAAATGGCAATACTTAACACGTTGTAATGCATCCTCGCGGCCATGACGGGTAGTGCATCAACCTGAAGCGCTCTGTAAACACCACGGCCCAGGACTACTACGCGTTTCACATAAGGTATCGACCAGTGCACTTTTACGTCATACCCCTGTTACAGGCTCTTCCGATAATTTTTGGAAACTTTTCACCGCAGTCTATGCTGTGGCCGTAGCGGAATTGCCGGCACTGAACGTGTTGTTAAAAGAGCTATCTACCACTGCAATGGTCCAGGGATCCACATTATGACGGTCCTGTGCGGCGTTTGTCAGTCACTGCTCCAGTTGTGCCTGTTTCGTGCTCGTAACCATGGTGACCAGAGTGTGCCGTGTTCAAGAGGAGTAGCCTGGTGCCTGTACCTGCCGGTTTGCCGCCGGATGAGAACCATCGGGATGTCCTATCCCTTAGAGCTCTCGTAATCCGGACTTACTTCATATGGCGGCTCTCGCTGCGTGAGGCTGCCCGCTGCCGGAGTCGCTGGAACCGAGTACCTGTGCCACGCTTGCCTCCTCCGCGCGAGAAACACGTGATTCTTGCCGTCGATGCTACCGGTGGCTGTGCCCGGTGGCTTTGTTCCGCTGAGCAGCGCGCCGGGCCGTTGCGTTGACGCATCCGTGCCGACACGTCAGACAAGCTGACTCCGCCTGATAAGACTATGATTGGGCTGGCCCGCCACGTTGTTCTTGTAGTGTCATGATAGGAATTATCACGACGCTAAAATGCAACTGACTGTAAGCGATCTTTTGTTGGTGGTCCCAGCGAATTAGCGTCATCTGAAAATGACGTTTTTTTGCTGCTTTTCGTGCAAGTCCGTAGTTCTGTTACATTTTCCACTCGTCGGCTTGTAAGTGCAGTTGAACAAACGTTGGCGTTCAATGTACAGCATTGCGATGAAATAAAATCAACACATGAAGACATCAATGCCAAGCAATCAAGTAAATACCAGAATGAGCGGATGTGTTGCTGGCCACTTCACTTTTTACCTCATGTCCAGTTGCATACAAGGTCATACGATCCGTGTGCTAACGGTACGTCTCAACAGGAGCGAAGACCGATACGGATTCACCGGTTCGCGCTACATTTTGGTGAGAAAAGTTTGATATCTCGCAACCCTAGAACGTCGGCTATATTTAACGAAATAGGGTTGTTAAGTTCACCTCTCCCTTTTACCCCGCTCCAGGTTAGAACATTGCACGCAATGCTGGCACCTGTTGTCAGCGGTGCAATTTTGGAAAACCATTTCTGATTGGGGCAGAAAAAATGCAACTCAAAACTATCCAGAGACGCACGAAATCTTATTGATTCTTTGGGATTTCACCCATTTTTCTCCCGAAATCGGGGAAGTGAAGGGACTCCTCCCTGTTGGAGGTGGAAGGACTCCCAGCCATATAAGCCTCATGCCCGTTGGGATGATGAATAGGAAATTAGGTTTACTCCTGCCTGATGCGCTACGTAGGATACATTTGACACTATGGTGAGCTAGGGATGGATGATGTTTTGCTGATGAGGTTGGTAATGCAGAGCTGTTTCGTCGGCGGAGATAGGCTTTTAGCTGACCTGCAAGTTAAGTACATCAGCATTTCATGCAAAACTGCCTTATGTTATGTACATGGACATTGACCTGAATCTAAAAGAGACAGTTGCGTATACTCGGGCTTCCTTTTAAGCAAAGAATCTCAACAGCCTCAAACTGAAAAGAGAAAGCTAGATTACTCGTGCATGGGGCATGGTAGCAGTCAGAAGCCACAGCGTGTGAACATATTAATGTCATTGTTATTTAGATGCAACCTTGGACAGTTAAGCCATCGAGGAATATCTAAATAGTGCCAACTCAAACAGCCTTGGGAAAATTAGCCAGCTGGCGCTGGGTAGCCAGCCGCGTCTAGAAGAACCATGTAAATCTGGCCGGCGCGCGGCGCGCGGGAAATGCGGCGGCTCTTCCGCTACGTGCGCCCCATTAGCACCGACAGGTGTACTGTGATGCCACGGTGACATGCATTGGTGAAGGGTGTACCATTCTTTATTTATCCCAGCTTTCTCAGAGTGGAGAGTATCGGTACGTAGGGTACATGCAGACACCGCATGTTTGGGCAAACTCGTAGCACTTTCTGCTGGGATATGGCTGGGGTCGGCGCGGCCCCCACACACAGGAAGTCCTCTGTTACCACACAAATGCAAAATTGCATGC